TCAATTAACTAATATATATTTTAAATGTGCATTGGAAAATATAAATATTAAAGAATTATTTTTATATAATTGTAAAGAGAAAAAATCGTTCTAAAGCGAATTATTTATATAGGCAAGAAAGACTAATCATATCAATATTATATGTATATTAGAAATATGATATAGTCATCCTGGATGACCGGTCACGGTCAATAATGTATCATTATGTATGGTGGCCATCATTAGATCAAAATATAGAAAAGTTCTTTAAAAAATTGCAAGGAATACCAAGGAAATGCCAAGTCACACTTTATTCTTGGAATATATAAGAACGACCTTAGGAATGATTTGATTTGGCCGGATATATACTGGAAAGGATTGGTTAGTGACAATAGATGCTTATTCAAAATGGGGTGAAGTAAACTTAATATATAATATATATGGATTACATAATTAATGTAAGAGATCATATCGCAAGGTTTGGTGTTCCAAGAAATATTGTAATCGACAATGGTAAACATACTTTTATAGATTTAATGATATTAAACACATTACTTTAAGCCCTTATAAACTGAAAACCAACAGTATAAGTGAAAGAGTGAGAGGAACGTTGCATACCATGCAGGCGAAGTCAAAAACAAGATATGAAAAATCATATGGCTCAAATACTAATATAAGCGTTCAGCAACGAGAAGGTCACCAACGATGCAAATTATGACCCGGAATAGGCTAAATGCTCAAATCCCCTGAGGTAGAAATTCAGGCAGAAATATGGGCAAAATTTTATCGCGATAAAAAATATGCGAAGATATGGTTTATAAATAAAATACATCTGGAAGGGGGGGGGGTACCTGATACAGTAATTATGAAAAAAGGAGAAGATGCGTATGACGTCGATAGTATATGGGAAAAATAAAAGAAAACATGACGATCAACTAGAGAAGAACCTAAAATAATATAGAGAAATTATTAGGACAACATATTTGGAAAGTCTACAGTTAATCCATTAGCGTGAATAAACTAAAAAAATAAATTGGAATGTTTATAAAGTGTGTGAAAAATAAGAAAATATTTTAGTTAAGTACTTTCATATCGCTTTCCCCACTAGAAGCGCTTAAATGTTGGACTTGATTAGTGCAAAACTTGACGGGTTACATCACGTGTCCAGTCCTGTTTGTATGAAACACTGAAAATAATCCTAAGTTATTCAATAACATGTTTTTTATAGAGATTTTCGAAGGGATAAAATAAATTTTGAAATATTTGATTACATTATTTTATTATAGTGTTGAGCTTACAAAATATTTATTTAAAATAATTTAATTGACCCCTTTTTTGTTATCACAATTAACTAGCCATACAAAATTCGAAAGTGATAAAAAAGTAACCATTTTAATTCTTGTCGAACAAAGGTTATTATTTTGTATAACAATATTTTTTACCACATTGATATTTGTGTGTAGCTTATGGTGTTTCGCTAAATCTAAAACACATGATTGGTTGATGAAAAAGAAAACATAACGATCCCGCCTGGTTTCTATGTTAGATTAGCATTCATAAACGATAAATAAAACTTATAAAAGGACGGGATTGATTGTAAAAGCACCTTCTTCACTTTCCCCTTATTTTATGTCTACTTTCTTTATTTTGTACGTTGGATTCAATTTGACCTTTACTATTGCATAGTATAACCTGCTATATTTTTACATAAATAAAATAAAGAAGGAAAGATTCTTACTGACATTTTAGTTCTTCAAACTCACGAATCCTTAAGGCTTACATAATTTTTATTTTAAGCCTTCTACTTCATCAGTCCTCAATGATTAAAGCTATTCCTCCTACTTCACCCAAAGCTTGCCAGCTCACCAAATTTTATAACTACCCTCGTTCTATGTTCCATATACTATGACTTCAAATATAACAGTGAAACAATAACTACAATGGCCCGGACCTATACCCGAAAAGACTAGTCTCCTGAAACATGCTGAATAAGTTACGAATCATAAATAAAAACAAATGAAATGTCAGTAAAATTTTCGCTTCGTGCGGGGCGATAATATAGAATTTACTAAAAAGAGATTCGCACCGAGGATAATACTGGACCGCAATTGGAGGACATTATCAAGATTCATGAATAGTTGACACCATAGACCTTAGGATCAACCTACTACGTCTTCACACGCAGGAAGATGGAGAGTTGATAGCATATTTTGCTATACTGGTAACAATGACGCAGCATTGCCACATTGGCTCAGGTGGAATATATTCTTATCCACACAATCCGGAGCTGTGGTAATTTGCCCTCGAATAAAACGGTAGATAATAACAACTGGACACACCAATTTTCGATCCAAGGTAGAGGAAACCCTAGAGTTAAGCGCCGTAATGAAAATAGAGCACGATTACCAATATTAAACCTCATAACGAATCACAATAATAATAATTATAACTTAAAAAGACTGTTAGTTGCGCTAATTCGAAGACAGAGAATTAGCTGATAAAAAAGGACTCATGACGATCCCGCGTTTCAGATTTTATGATTGGCTAAGAATATTAGCAAACGTAATCGATAAAAAAAACCTATAAAAGGGCCATTGTTTGTGGATAAGCACCCTTTTCACTTTCGCCATATTTTACGTTCACTTTAATATTTAAATGATAATTATTCTTTTACATTAATTTGTAAGCTGGATTCAATTTGACGATATTTGCCATGGCTTACATAAATAAAATTGAGGAAGAAAGATCCATATTGACATGTGCCATATGCGTTGTGCTTTTTTATTTTAGGTCCTCTACTTCAACAGTCCTTAAGACCCATCTATCCTCAGACCACAGGTATATCTATATTGACATGTGTACTCTGTGTATTTTTATTTTAGGTCTTCTACTTCATCAGTACTCAACAAGGCTACTTCTCCTAATCCCAACACAGAGCTGGCTGGCGCACCAAACCTTATGACTACCCTCGTTACCTCCACGCTCAGTATACATAATCCTATGACTTCAAATATAAGAGTTAATATTTCTAAAATATCGTTAGCTTTTAAATTATGATGCATGAGTAATCAATCTAAATAATACTCATTGCCATGATTAAACTTATTACAGCAAGTGACACTTCATCAATATTTTTTATTATAAAAAATTAAGATAAAATAAGTGGATATCCATCAAAGCTGAAATTAATTACTAGAAAATTTAAAAAAGATTTTATTATCAGAAAAGTTTAAAATAAAAATATTTATATTGAAAATTAAAAATGTACATTTTAAAATATTTTTTGACTTATTTAACGAGTAATCAGAGGTGATTCGAGAAGTAATTAGAATTTTATTGGAATAGGTGAATGAACAAATTTAGATTGGTAGAATTGCAAATTATTTAAATTCCGCAACCTATACCTAAATATTTCATATTACACATGTTTAAAAAACATCATTTTTAAATAGCCTATATTATATTTATATCCTATATGTATATTATGTACCCTCATTTGTTATTCCGTTATATAAATATAATAATGTAATAATGTAAACCAGTGACCAAAGATCAAATTTTTAAGCCTGGCCTGATCTTTATTTTCTCTTCATTTTTAAACTCGACCCAAATATAATTTATTTTGTTGCCCGATTTTTTAAAATTTTGATTTTAAAATTTTATTTATAATTTTTGCCGTATTTATAAATTGTAGTAAATGAATATTAAATATAATATACTATTTTTGAGATTAATAGGTATCATAAAAAAAATTCTAAATCGATCAGGCCTGGATTATGTCTTGTAGAAACTACTTTTAGGGTAGGCATGGTCCCAATTTTTAAATTTATATTTCACCCTTCTTCAGGCTTGATATGCAAGTCTGGTCTGATGTCACTGATATAAGTTTTGAAATAAGATGATGAATGAATGTAATTGAACAATTAAATTATACCTATGGAGGTTGATAACAAGGTAAAACCAAAGATAAAATAATTATGATATCTAGAAAAGTTTATTTTAATGGCGGGTTTCTTTATGAATTTGAGATTTCATAGAACTCTTTTTTATTATTATTATAGGTTTGTTATTGATTAATAATACTATAAATATTATATACTAGATTAATAAAAAGGGGAGAAAAATTTTATAATAATTTAATACATTTTTTAGAAGAAAACTGAAAAGGGAAGTATTATCGATTTTTTTTTTTAAAAATATACATATGAAAATGATCGAATATTATATACTAAAATATATTATGAAATTGTAATTGGGATTGAATTTTATTTTTAGGTATAGTCAAGGAAACTCTTTATATTATTCAAGTTAATATACATTGTTATTCAAATTTTATGCAAGCTTAAGAGGTGTAAAAATTTCACTTTTATGTTCAAAATAAATATTTAAAATAAAATCTAGAGAAAGTTTTTATAATTTATTTGCCGCATATATTTTAATATTTACCTAATTAATTTATTAAAGATGTCATCGTTAATCTAAGATAATTATGTTCATAAATAAATTTGTACCCATCTAAATTTATTATGCTATTAGTTTTTAAACAGATAATCGATTTATTGATCTCATTTATTCCTAGCATTTTGTTATTTTACAATTTAAATATAAGTATTGTTATTTTTTAAAAAAAAATCATTATTATCATTAAATCTTTTGATTTTGATGGTTTTTTTAAAAAAAATATAATAGATAGATATATTTATCAATATTTTATATCGAAAAACAATAACTGATCATCATTAAAATAAAATTATTAAAAACACATTTGTTTCTTCCCTATTATATCGAGATTTTTTAGAGGAGAATAAACGAAACAATACTAATATTTTTCGGAGTATTTGTGTTAAGATTAAATTTTATCACGTTTATAAATAAATTTATTGATAATTTAAATTTCTTTTTACAAAATATTTAAAATTGTTTTTTTATAAATTAATTTTTTATTGTAGTTAAATGAACATTTGTTAGAGTATTTTTATAGTATATATAAATATTTTTTTTTATCATGGAAAGTAGTATATAACCTCATTTGATATAAAAAAATATAATAATAAAAAAATAGTTTAAATGGAATAGAATATGATATGTAAAAGTTGTAACATAGTAACCATCTCCACGAAATATCAACGTAGGATAGATGAATTATAGGTAAAAAAAATAAGTAAAATATTATATATGGCATATTAAATGTTGACTATTTCAAATATAATTTATACTATTATATTTATAATCTCAGATATTTAGATGGCAGATTTAACTGCAAAACTGGTTTTTTATCGTATAAAAGAAACTATACTAAAAATAAAAGAACTCCTTACTAACCATCAGCAATTATTAAACGTTGAAAATGAATCGACACCTTCAAATTCATCTAATTACTTGCTTGCTAGGTTCGATTTATTAGATCTGCTATTGGTCTTTTGGATTCTATTGGCCATTTTGGTAATATTACTCGTATGTATAGTGTTCAAGTATTTCAGAGGGGAAAAAGGTAAAGATTCAGGTAATAAGGTAGACCATTCTCACCAAAAAGATGGAGATAAACGCAATGACAAAGATAGTCAGAAATATTATAAAAAAAAAGAAGAGGGTCAAGGCGAAATTTTCGAAGCAAGTGGTGGTGAAATATCAGGCGATATAATTGATGGTTATGTTATGATTCCACCTTCGGAATGGTTAATTAATTTCAAAAATTGGTTCGAGGAAAACAAGAAAAATTCTTTAACCTTTATTCGGCATTTGAAATCCCATATTTTGAGCGGGCTCAATCATAAAGCGCGCATGTCTAAGGTAATTGATTTTTCAATCCATTATTACAAAATAAAAATTATCATTGTTGGGTATTCAAAAAGAACTCTCACTTTAACATTTTTTAAAAAGCAAACATTATTATTACAAAATAGACGAAAAAAATAAAGTTTAAAATATGCTTGCTAAAAAAAATAGTCAATCATCTTGGGCCTGCGTCCCGATTAAACACTGATTAGATTTATAATTTCACTTATAAATATATATGTCATGTTGGCTGACTCGTTCAAATGGAGGGGGGGGGATTATTTTTTATATCTAAAGCTTAGATAAATTAGGAGTTTTCACATGCTGTCGAATTTATTTACCCCTCGAGCCATCAGTTTTAGCGAGTGGAATCCATGAGAATTCGGAATCCCTCAATGTTTAAGATTATTGCTGAGGAGACGATGTTTACATTTAATAAATTTGATTTGCCCGATTATAACCCTTAAAAGTTCAGGCAATTTTTGCCATGAACTTTTCAGTATAAAAATTAATACAAATTAAGAGTAGTTTAATTGTAAAATTGTCTGAAATTTATAGTATAGGCACTCTACATATGCTGGAATCCACATTTTCGATCAAATTTTTTCAAATTTAATCGCCTCTAGAAAATTATTTAAATTTTAGAGATTCGAAATTCTCCTGGAATATTACAATATTGTATATATAAAAGTTCGGTCAGAAATTCATTATTTAAAGCTTTTGGGTTAATTAACCGATTTATATGAATCCTAATTAACAACCTTTATAATATCTATCAATTTTATATTTACATCTGGAATATTTAAAACATATTTTAAACTATGATTCTAGGTGTCAGTGTGATAAATTAATTTATCAAATGAATAGGTTTTGATATCTTTTTTCTTTATCATATTTGGGGAGATATTGCGAAAGTGATTTATTTTCGCAGCATACAGAAAATACTTAGGCTAGATTATATATTTAGATGCTAACCATACCATTGCTTATCCGTAACCACGTTCTTTCTAACTGACCAATTTTTATAATTCTTTTGTTAAAATGTAGCATTTTAAATTAATTTATAATCTATTTCTATTTTTATTGGCTAAAACATATTTATCAGTATAAATTTAAAAGCTAACCACTAAGGGAGAGTTTTGAAGTTTTATGCTTCCGTTTCATAAATTTTAAAAAATACTATTCCGAAATTTTATGTAATTGTAATTCTGGATCCAATGCATCTTTCTCTTTAATATTAACATCCTATAATTTTTCAAGGTATCCATCTCTTTTTTTCTTGAGTTGATTTATTATCAATGATAGCCTTATGCTCATTATTTAAGATTTTTCTTTTTTATGAATAAAACAATCTAGTATAAATTTATCTGGTAATATTACTTTATTTTTAATTTCATAGTAATAGTTCCAAATATTTTTTACCTTATCAACCTTTAAATCACACTTATGGAAAAAAGAATATTTTATAAATATTGATTCATATCATAATCGTAGCTAGGGTTTTCATAAGGGGAGATTTTGGGTGGCTTATTAAGCCATACATTTTATTTGGTAGTTTTAGGCATCCTATCTAAAGGCCCTTGGACGTATTACATAAAATAAACAAAATTCCGAGTATTTTTTTTAAAAAAAATCAAAAATGTCTACTAAGGCTACACGTCTAAGGAGTTATAAGAAAATTTACGAAAAAGATAATTCGAGGGACAGAAATTGTGATCAAATTAAAACTGCACACATAGATATATCCATAATACTAAATAATAAATTACCATCTTCAGTCAGGAGCGGACTGGGAAGCTAAAGGCCCTATGGGACATTTTTAAAAGAGGCCCCATAGCTGTGGGGCTTCGCCTCAAATGCCCCTCTGCAGACCTACGGTCCGCTCTTATCCGGCATGCGGCCTGTAATTATATAATTTTATTTCAAATCTACTTCACTATTTTCAAATTTACAAGAATTCTTATCTTTTAATATTTATGTATGATCCATTTTAAAAAAATACTCGTTCTTTGAGTTTGAATACATTATTGTTAATTTATAAACTTTCCAATCCACCTTTAATAAATAAATGATTTAAAATAATCTTCCATATATTTTCTATATTAGGATTAATTTTATAGTATAATTCTTATTTTTTCGTATAATATATTTACAAAATCTTTTTTTTTTCATTTTCATTATTTTATATATATGGTAGCGAAGGCTGCCTGTGGAAAATAACGGTTAATAATAAATGGTGGGGAGTCGGAGATTGCAATATCTATGAGGGAAATAAAATAAGTTAACAAAGTATTTAAATAACAAAAAAATAAATATTTTTATAACAAAAAAATAAAATATTTATAAGAATTAAATAAAAGCTCTGGTATATTTTTATAATATTAAAATAAAAAAAATAATATTTTTAAAAAAGAAGTAAAATTAGTATATAGTTGTCAATGCAATGGTGTGCTGACTGAGGATAACACTTATTTTGGTCCAATAATAATATACCGCTGACCAGGACTCTAAACCAATAGCATTTGACTAAAGGTTTGGCTTTAAAAAATTGGAGCATAGGAGACAAAAAGAAAATAATTTTCTTATTATAATGCTAAAATCTGATAATTGTATTAAAAATTTATTTCTGATGGTTTAAAATTTTTATTATCTTAAAATGATATTTATGAAAACAGTGTTTCTGTAGTCCAACATATAAAAATCGTACATTCCCAAAATAGGAAAAGAAGCAAAATTAGAATGATGGTTTATCACTGTATGTATGTCCTATTTCATATATCAATAATAGATCCCATATATTAAAATTGCTAAATGATATAAAATTAATACTATAGAAACTATTAAACGTTTACTTCTAAAACACTTAGAAAGAAAGGAATGCTGAAATTGTGCCTAAAGTGAAATTTTCCAAAGTTGTCTTAACAATTTTCTCATTAATGGTGAACATTTGGGCAAATAATCAAGAACCTCACTTAATTCGATTTCTTCTTCTGCTGACATATTAAAGAGACTTTTTAGATAAACCTGCCCAATATTTGATAACAGTCTATTTTTAATTATTTTTAATTTGGAATTCAATTGTCTGTACTCTTCTTCAAGCCAATAAGTAGAATGTTATAAATTCTATAAAATGAAACAGCTGATCAGTAACCTTGCCTAACTTGGATTTTTTTTAAAACCTCTTTAGTTATACCTTTAATATTAATTTCATCAAAACTACTAAAATTGAAATATTGAACATCAGATATGTGATGTTGATTTTTCAGATATCTTTCTATAAAACTGGTTGTTATCTGATCGATGATATCATAAAATATTTAAATTCTGTAAACTTGAAGGGAGTCATTTTGGACGCTCATCTGAATATTTCTCAAAACACCTCTTTTTACGATGAATTCTGCGTTATTTCAGTTTCCGTGCATATGTCATCGGATAACATCAAATCGAAATTTCTATTGATAGATGATACCATATTTGTAGCTTTCATATGTATTGAGAAGAAGTTTATATAATTTAAAGATGATCTAGATCTTCAACCATTTTCCAGGCAGTTAAAATGTCTAAGTTTCTTGATTGTAAATATTTTGATAAAGGCCCAATTATTTCAAAAATTTTTAAATAAAATTGTGCCGTTGGCTATTAAGGATATCTATATATATTTCCTTTATATTTAATGATCTATTTCAGATAAAATGTAGATCTTATATTTGAATGAAAAGATCATCAATAATCAATATATTTTAAGTAAAGGTATTTATGGATAAATAATGCAATAGAGTTCCCAATCTGCCTACTCTAGCACAGGAAAATCCTTAAACTATGGTTCATTTTAGTTAGACGGAGAGGGTTATAAAATTTCTTAATACTTAGCTAGAGTTGGCCAATCAGTAATTTAAACCAAAATTTAAAATAGTGAAAGATAAGGACTTAGATAAGCAAAATCTAAATTAAATAACCAAATTGCACCATATTTTAAAAAATTTTATATTACTTTATAATAAAAAAAATAATCTAAAATTAAGAAATAACATATATTAAAAATTACAAGTAATATTTATAACGTCGACATTGGTACTAGAATTTAATTGCTTAGATAAAAAAACTAATTTTCCTACCTTTTCTGTTCTTAACTGATTACTAAGCTTTGAGTGAACAACTCCAAACGATGAGAATACCCTACTCACTGAAGCGGGTGATGATTATGAAGTAAATAGTTGTTTCATTTTTTTAGAATATTTACATCCTTCCCCACCTCCATTCACCCCCCCCCCCCCAGACCAAGTCATACCTACAAAACCAAGAATGAAGACTTTCAGTCAAAAGATATTAAAATTAGCTATTATTTGATACCCATATCGATATTTTATTTTGATAAAAATATTCCTTAACCCCCCAGACCTAGACTCGCTCATTAAAGGGGAGAGATTGACCTCCAGTTGAATAAATCTTTTGATTGGCTATCGATTGATACCCTATATTAGACATATCTTATTTCATAAGGCCAGAAAAAAACAACATTGAAAATTAATAAATAACAATAATATTAAAAAGCGAAACGAAACGCGCCTAAAATGCTTTTTAAAATAAGATTCCTCTTTATCACAATTAAAACGTGATAATACCGTATTATCATCCCTTAACTTATAACCCTAATTTTTTAGTTATCCCTTTAAAACCCGTGATGATCCCGGATAGTTATGATCCCTTTAAAAATTACGACATATACATATAATAATAATGTTCTATTTTCTATATATAAACTATAAATATTGCATGGATATGTTGGCGGCAATGTTCTTTTTATCCGTCAATGTGTTATTTTTACAACTTTAAATCATTTTTGAAGCGCTTTTTTTAAATTTACAAGATTTTACCGAAAATGTATTCCAACTTGTTTAGAATACCTACCTTATGATGTGTAGATATTTTTATCGTTACCTTTTGAGTTTATAATTTATATGAAAAATCTATGTATTAAGTTCTAAAGTTCATGGCAAAATTGTCTGAAATTAAGGTAGATATTCTAAATGATGGAATATATTTCCGGTAAAATCAGATTTTTAAACTTAAAAAAACACGCTCAAAAAATGATTTAAAATTGCAGCTATCATTAAAAATTTATTAAATATTTACTTGCGGCTATCTATTTTAAGACAATAATAATACAAATAAAATGTCTTACCTATTTAATTTCCATGGATCCACATTTTAAGAACAAATGAAAATAGTAAAATAGTTTTATTATTCGACTAATGAGGGCTATTTATATTGAATTTATTTTATTTCTTATCGTTTATAATCTCACTAGGAAATTAAATTAATATTTTAATTTATAATATTAAAAATTATTTTGTATAAATACATATTTAGATTTTAAATCAATTTTTTTAAAAAAATATAGGCCACAAAATTCTATCCTAAAGGCCCTTAAATTTTTAAAATCTCGAAGCCCCGTGGGATATTTTCCCATTATTAGGCTTACCGTCCCTGTCTTCAGTTTTTCAGTTGACTAGATTAGCTCAAAATAAAGAAGAATGCAGGAATTGGATAAATACTTTGTCCATAATATACCCTGGCCGGGCAGGGCCTTAAATTTTTTTTTAAAAAATACCCGGGCCGTGCTTGAAAATATAAAACGCGGGCCGGGCCGAAAAAATTTTCGAAAAAAATCTGGGCCAAGCCGGTATATGGTACTTCTGCAGGTCTCTTATGATAATAATAGAAGTTTTTATAATCAAATTAAGCTAAAAATATATGAAATATCTTTCAAAATACATCCGAGATTTTTCGGTTTTCTCGCTTTCCTATACGTATGCCTTTAGTTGACTTGACCATATTAGTATTTATCAAGATTTTGATTTGCTTAGATTTTGAATGAAATATAATTAATAGATAGGAAATATATATAATAAAATCAATGATTTATATAAATTTAATATTTATAAGTTTTTGAGTATGCTATTGATTTTACCAAGAGAACATTTAGGTTTAATTAAATATACATTTCATTTTGAATATATAATTTATTTTTAAAATTTAAGAAGTAATTTATGAACAAAGTCCAATTGAAATACAAATATAAATCATATAACTGTCATTTTAATTGAAATCCCTATATAACACCTAGTGTTATTAAACAACTCGTTTTGAGCCGATTTTTAAAGACGGCTAACTCAATATTTCATCCAGAATAATATTACCCAAGTCTGAAGATTTTGCCTGTAGAAGGAACAAAGGTTTGGACATCTATCAGCGAAATCTCGTGGCTTCACCCTATTCCACTCATTCTCGGCAAAAAATAAATAAAATAGTTAATTATAATTATAAACAATACTTTTTTAATATGAACTAATTATTATATATAAATTAAAGTTAGTCATATAGTAGATAACTAACATTAACTTCCAAAATTAGTTGCAGTTAGACTGAAAACCAAAAAGGGGTATGAGGCAGCTGAATCCTCTTTGCAAAAACGTTGACTATACCGGTGTGATAGTCAGTATATAGATATGATAATATAATCGAAATATATATGTAATATATTAACCTTAATAAATCAAAACGAATAAAATTTAATTTATATTAAAGCCCTACATAAGATCTATATTCTTTCCAGGTCCGGATGTCCCGAGAAAAATTTTAAAATTTGTTGTCATGTTAGAACATGCTTTAAATTTTCTTTCTCCCAAATTTGAGCCTAATGCGAGGAAATTAAAAAAATAATGAAAAATTTTACCATTTATTTTTCAAGCAAAGTGGGAAAATTATAAGTACTCGAGAATATTAAGAATTTATTTTTAATTATTTCCAAGGTCCTAGTTTGGCCAGCCCCGAAACCTTTGCCCGAATGAATTTTTTAAGACCAAACGAGTTTGAAGCTATATCAGTCCGAATTATATCGATCCGAGTTTGGTAAAATTGGATGAAATTTAAATGTAATACAAGCACATAACTATAATATAATAATTTTTTTTATTAAGGAAAATGTTCAAATAACGTTTGAAGACATATTATATAACTGTGATAAAGGAATATCTAGCAAGGTTAAAATCAATCATCTTACCTCCGAGCCTTCTTCAACAAATGGCATAGTAAATTATCATATTTTACAATCAGTTAAGTTATGTAATTAGTAGTTTTTAAAATTATTCTTAAAGTGTAACTAGTTACTTAAATAGTTTACTATTACTAATTAGCATAACAATAAAATAAGGTAGTCACTTCACATAATAAAAATATAATCTAGCCAATTCATTTGTTTTTATAATTATTTTAATATTTTATAAAATGTCTTCCATTCCAGTTCCATCCCTATTTTGATAAGGCTAGACATTCCTGAACTGATTTTATTTTTCCTTTATTAATTAAACTAAATTTTAGGCAAATTTAGGTGAAAATATACATTATTTATTACCCTCCCCTGCCATAAATAATTTAAATACCATATGGCAAGGTTAGATGATAATGATAAACAAATTAGTACTATAAACAACTTGTTTTAGTCCTTCAGAAATAATGATTAAAAGAATAATGGAAAGGAATAATTTTTCTTTGCTGAAATTCAAAAATTCGGAATGTATTACTAGATATGTCACAATCAATTCATGTAATCAGTCAACGTGTATTGCCTTAGTCAATATATGTGATATCAAAATTGTCTGAAATTTATGGATAAGTTAAGTCAGCATCTACGTAACAGAATTTTCACAAAAATCTTAACCTATTCCATAAAAAAAATTTCACCGCCTTCAGCGCCGTATCTTTACGTTTTTAATTACAGTTTTTTATTTAATAATAGTCCTTTCATATATTTTAAAAATAAAAACATAAATAATTAATACTCTACTACAAACTATAAAAAAATTGTGAATGCAAGAGTTATTTTTTAGATATGAATTAAATTAAAAACCTTCCTCTAATTTTCGATGAATGAATTATTATAGTATTGGCATGAATATGAGTTTGCTGATAAAATCTAACTCTTTTAAATTATTTAAAAATATAGGAAATTATCCAGAAAGAAATCTTATTTTAAAAATAATAACTATGATTATATGCATTATTTTTGTCTATGTTTAGCAATATGTGTATATTAGTCTATGATAAAAGTATTCAATAGATTTTTAGGGAAATATATTTTGCTCTATCTCATCTAAAAATTTAATTGCTAACTCCCCAATAAATTTACCCTACCCCATTAGATGTCAACGCCTTTCAATAAATTTGGACCCCCCCCCCCCCCATACCTTTCGTGTAGACGCTGAGATAAGTATTTAAAAAACATGCTAAAATGATTTAAAGTTGATAAATATCACAATAATCAGAGACCTGTAGAGGTACCATTTGCACGGCCCGGCCCGGTTTTAAATTTTTTAGGCCCGGCCCGGATATTTTTAAAAAAAATTTTTTACGGCCCGGCTCGGCCCGGATTTAAAAATTTAAGGCCCGGCCCGGATATTTTTTTAAATTATATTCGACCTGCTATATACAAAAATTCACCTATGAGATATTTTACCATATTTTTTAGCGAGTATTATCGCTTATTATTTAAAAAATTCATTTAAAAAGCTAATTGAGAATATTATATTGAATTTATAAAAATTATAAAAATGGATATTTTGAGCATATACTATATTTTATATTGCATTTATAAAAATAAAACTAATATTCATAAAAATGGTAATAATATTTGTCATATACTATATTTTATATTACATTTAAAAAAAATAAAACTAATATTTAATTTATAAAAATGGAAAATATTTTGAGAATATAATATATTGTATTTAATTTACTATTTAATTTATAAAATAAAAATAAATCGCTATTTAAAAAAATGCATGTATAATAAATAGTATTTTGAAAATATAATCTAATTGCACAATATTAATATAATTTATTTTATAATATAAATTTTTAAAAAAAGAAGATAATTGTATTATATAATATTGTAAAAAAAAATAATGAAAAATGTTGGATTAAAAACTTTCAAGACTCAAGGTAAATATAATAAATGCAATAAATATTTGACAGTTTGCAAAGTAAAAAACCAGCATGATTGACGAAACCCTATACTCAAGAAAGATATTAAAAATTCACAAATTATCATGAAGAAAGAGAAGCATATCTACCTTTTCAGGTTCTCCCAGTAGTGGAAAAATTCCGCTCACAGCTTGCACTTAAAGCAGGAATTGCCAATTTTTCTAAAATTGGAAATTCGCTTTGATGAGCCGCCCACCACTCTAACAAATTTTCCACCTTAAATGTTTTATCTATTATTTATGTAATTATAATATTCATCATCGGGTATTGACATATTACCAGAATTACCATCGCCCCATTTGTCATAAAACGATTCAGTTTGTTTAACAACAGTCGTAATTTGACTGGTCGATGGTATTTCATTTACTTCCTGAGCCTCTTGTAATTTAATATAATCTTTTATATAGTTTTCCGTCATTTTGCGATCTGTCCCTGACTACATACGTAATTGCTTGAATTTGGGACAGAGAAAGAGAGAAATAAAATGATACTTGTGTAAAACAAATTTTTCAATTAAAAAATGCTTTATATTAAGTAAAATCAATTTTATTTCTCCTTTTCGCTTTGAAAGGTATTACAAACTTTAAGAAGTGATATTCCTTTATTTGATTGTTTTGGTAAAATATATTCTAAAAATTTAGATATGAATTATAAAAAAATATATTAATAATACTTGAATATTGGGGCTTATTTAAGATATTCCTTTATTTGATTGTTTTGGTAAAATATGTTGTAAAAATTTAGATATGAATTATAAAAAAATATATTAATACTTTGAATAAATTTGCAGGAAATTAATAATTAGATCGATCTGTGGGTTGTTAGGTAGTGTTAACCATCACCCAATATTATATTAATCATAACTATAATATAATATAATCTTATAGCCATTAACTCATAATGTAAAAATTTTTATAAAAAATATTAAGGCCCGGCCCGGGTATATTTAAAAAATTTAAAATACGGCCCTGCCCGGGCCGGGCTTAGGGCCGGGCCTGCAGGTCTCTGACAATAATTTACTGAAAGCGTTTTTAAAATTTTAAAAATCTTATTTTGCCGAAAATGTATTCTAGCCCAGCAAATCTAATTTTATTTGACCCGAGCTTGGCCTGAAATTATTTAATGTTCAAGCCCGAGTCTCGCCCAGCCCAAATATTTTTAAAATAGGTCTGAACCCGGGTGGGTCTAAATTTTCTAATTAATATTAAATTGAATGCCTTTTTATAACGAAAAATAAATTAAAAATCACTGATCGCTTTGTCCTTATCACAGTAAATTATAATTGTCATTTTATACGTTATATATTTAGAATTTTTTTATGTTTCTCAAGCCCAAACTTGGCCCCGCCCAGCACAATTTATTTTAAAGTTTTGCCGAAATATATATTAATTTTAGACCCGAACATACGGGTGGATCCGGATTTCGGATCGAATTGCAAAAATATCTATCTTAGAAATTTTAGACAATTTGATCATGCACTTTGAGTTATTTTTAATTTATGTACTGGCAATAAGCGAGATGACATAATATAGGAAATTTCGATAAGCTGCATAATTTTTTTTTAACCTTTACATGATGCATGAGTAAATAAATTTTTTAACAAATAGACTTACTGAAGAGGTGACCAATTTAAATATTTAATCAAACAGATTTAAAGATAAAAAAATTTTTTTATTCAGAACTTAATTCTCCCTAGGTATTTCCCTAGATTTTTTTAAAATTCATTTACATTGAATTTGTAATTTAAATAAATAGCTTTTTACATTAAAAAAAAAGAAAATGATCGATGACATTGATGTAACAAATGTTCACATGAGAGTATTTGCAACAGAAAGGTTAGATAGTAACACAAAAATGGCTTTATACAATATATTATGCAGGAAACTACATGGACAAGTAATTACATAAATAATTCATTATAAATCTTTTATGGATATTGGAATTCAATTATTTTAAATATAAACTGTTCTGGCAATCTTGTTAAACCATACTTTTAGAAAAAAAATAATATGAAGGTAGATACAATAAGAATGAATATAGATGAATATTTTCATAATTTTTTTCTAGACGTTAAATCGAAGGCTAAATTTTATGATATAACACTAATTAAACTTAGTCTAGCACCTAGGCAATTTTTGAGATGTAAAATAAATATTGGCTCAACTGAAGAATATTATAAAATATCCATTTCATCCCATTCTTAGATACTTTTTTATCGCAAATAAAAGTACGGTTTTTAGATAAAAAAACAAGTCTTTAGCAATCTTCAAGTTTTATTACCCAAAGATCCTTCTTCGTTTTCTAATTCCACTATTAGTAAAATTAAATATTTAACAAAATTTTATTCCTATGATATTGATACTGAAATAAATTTAATCAGTGAATTCGAATTGTGGTATAAATATTTACTACGACGAATGAAAGGACTTTTTCCAACTTGAGATTGAAAACATATTTACGAGGTACTACTTCCGAATCTCGGCTAAATGGGTTAGCTCTGTTAAATATCCACAGAGATTTGTTTCCAACGACAAACGAAATTCTTGATGAATTGGCAACATTCCCACAAAAATTAAAAATCACATTATAATTATAGTATTTAATAAAAATTTTTGTATAATATTGTTATTTGATAAGAAGTTAAAAAAAACTTGTTTTTTAAATTATTTTCTAGTCAATATTTTATTCACACTACTATTAGTATTTTCAATAAAAAAATTATATTCTACTTATATAGTATGAGAATTTAAGCTGAGGCTAGTTTTTAAAGCAAATTTTATAAAAAAAATGACATTAAACTTTATTTCAACTTTACATTTAAAATTTTTTTATTAAATATAATATACCTAACTTAAAATAATAAAAAATAGGCATGTAATATCCATAAGCACGAACTAGTAAATAATACTTAATATAGAAAAATTATTATTAATAAAAATTATGAATAATTTAATAGAATAGCTAAAATATAAGACCAGGGAGTTTGGGGGCGAAGCCCAAAAAAAATTCCCCCCCCCCCACCCCCCTTTATAAGAAAATCCTGGATAAGCAACTGGCATCAAACCTATATACTTATTATGGTCAGAAGGTCTAACTAATATTCCCTGGTTTAGAGGAAGACATATCACTTAGTTTTACTTTTCAGTTTTTCCTCCAATTAAATTCTTGATTCGATTATATAAGCTTAAAAATTTGGAATCGTGAAATTTAAATTTTCTATTTCATCCCCGTTATTATTTCAACAAATGGGTCCTTCCTTTACCCTCGAGGCTATAATTTCCTGTTTTAGGGGAAAAGATGGCCCTAATTGATGGGAATCATACATCCTTTTTTAAAATTTTACAGTTTGTTGTATCTTGAAGAGGAAACTAATTGAGTTTAGAAAGAAATCTTTAATTTTTAATTGTATTTATTTCATATTTTTTAAAAAAATAATGTCTAAAGTATTTTAGATTATAAGTTTAAATAAACCCTCCAAAAATTAATATTTAGAAAAGTTAAAAAAAAAGTTGCTACTTGCTATGATTGGCCTATTTGAATCTGGTTTAATATATTGATAAAAATTTGAAAAAACCCGATTTGGGTCGATTTTTAAAACGGCCTATTAAGATTTCAGCCAAAATTATACTATGTAAGCTTGTTGATTTTGCTAATAGATGACAGAAAGCCTTGAACCTCTATTTTTAAAATCTCGGAGCTTACATAATATAATTTTGGCAAAAATCTTATGGGGTCGTCGACCTAAATCGGACTTTTGACCAACACTAGGTAAAATACTGCTACATATTAATAAACATAAAAGATGCAGAAAGGTGGCGCTTCTTTTTATTAAAAGGGTAGGATGAGTATTAACCTTTTCGAGAAGGTAGGAGCAGTAGAAAGAGTGAGATTCTTTAAAAAAAGATCTGCTAAGTTTTACAACATTTTTAATTGAGATTTTGTCATTATGATAAGATGTAAATTCGGGTAGTATTTTCAAATTTTATTGCAATATAGTAAATGATTGAAACATGGAAAGAGTAAGAATAAAGTCACACTTTTTTATATGTATTATAGTATAATATTATATATAATTTTATCTCACATATTAGTTAAAAATAATACTTTACCCAATACGACGCATATATCACGCCACCGTAACTTTCGATACTCCTCCCGATTTAGATCTCGAGATCATAGAATATGACGATGATTCAATTACTAAGAACAAAGAAACGAAATCTAAATCCATCCTTAAAAACAAGGATAATAAAATATACAATAACAAATTAAACATTGAAACATTGGATAGGGTTGTCAGAGAAAGCATATCTGCTTTTCAAATGACCATTGACCTGTCTCATTTCTACCACGGAGTTACAAATAACGTTAAACCATTTCCACTGCCTATTATAAAAAATGGTCTTCCAAAAAATATTTCCAAGATTCTATGTATTTATAAATATATAATATAACAAATAATATATATATTTTTTTTATCAATTTCTAATTCATCTTTATTAATAGCTTATTTAATTTAAATGTTAGGAAGTGTTTTAGCTGGAAAAATATCCATGTTGATTAAAAAATACGATTTATTTATACGAACATTCATACCCAGGATATTTTTAGGGAGCACTATTAAGTTGATCCACCATAAATTTTATTAGAGAGCTTTAGGACAACCTATTGTAAATCTTTGGGCGGGATACATTTTAAGGAATATTTTTGGGTTTTCACTCATTTATAAATTAAAGATGTTTTTATTAATAATTTTGAATTATTGCCAGTATTATAAAAAATTATTAACTTATACTTATTTTTTCTTAAAATTATTGTTGCGGGGTGATAAAAATATAGCAGAATAATTTATATTAGAGTTTAATTTGATATTTATATAAACAAATAAATTTTCAAGGAGGGGGGGGCATCCTCATGTCGTCTTACTTGACTCCGTCAATTAGCACAGCAATTTAAAAATATTTTACATTTTATTAGGGTTGACTGAAAACAATCATATATTACTGGAATCTGATTTAGACGAAGAACGGAATGAAAACGAAATAAAAGAATATGGCATTGAAAAGTATAATAATATCGATAAAAATATTGTGATTCCAAGTTACTATGTCCCTAGAGATGATGGAACTTTTGCCTCATCTCATGAATTTTATCCTCAAAAACCACCCCGTCCATTTGTACCAGAATTTGATGGAAAGATATCGAACAATTTAAATGTATATTATTTTTTCATTATAAAGCTTCAGCTATCTCATTCATTTTTTTTTACATTACTAGAGATTAAATATTATATTTCTAAATTAGTCAAATAAAAATCTAATCAAGGCTACATCTGGGAAAGGCAATAATTTACAAAATTTTAACGAATCTCCTTATGCGATCTCCTTGCAGGATAAACGATTTCTTAATTTGCCTAAACAATTGTTCGTAAAAATTGTCAAAGCCAACGGTTTAGGAGATATTTTAGGTTGCCAAGATCCTTACTGTAGTGTAAGTTTATTGGGTGCTCCTTATAATGAATTCCAGACCGATGATAATCGCGAAAATATTCAAAAATACAAACCGAATTTAACCAGTTCGCAAAAATATATGACTTCCGTAATCAAAAATACTTGTAATCCATTCTGGGATGAAAATTTTCTTTTTGAGTTATGGCCCGATAATAAGGATACTAATAATAAGGTTACCAAAGATGATAAATCTTCGGAAAAGGAAGTGATTTGGCCAAAATTAAAAATGGAAGTCTTTGATAGAAGCAAAAATGTTGGGGGTATGCTATGCTAATAAACGATATTTTATATTTACTTATAAAATTTATATTAAGTAAAATTGAATTTTAAGCAAGATTTGATGATTATGTTGCCTTTTATTTATTTGTACCTATGATATTTATTATATATAAATTCTATTACATTTTATACAGAGGATTTTCTAGGACAAGCCATGGTTCCTGTAATATCCTTATTGTGCAATCCCAATCAGCGTCAAATCATTCCATTACTCTCGAGATCTGATCGTACTGATCCTGTTTCTGGTGCTATTACTGTCGAGGTTTCTATTATTTTATACACATAATTATATACATTTATTATTTTCTTAAGTTTTTATTGCTAGATTCGAATGGTAATCCATTGAATGAATCAAAAATGCATTCTCCTTCAATTCCGATAAGTAATAAAATACCGTTTTTTTCAACTGTATATTATTAATTTAGCTTCCACTAAACGTTATTCTGAAACTAAATTAATGAACTTAACTCACTCAAGTATTATTTTTGTTAAAATAATAAAATTTGATAGATTTATTAGATAAAGGGCTTCCAATAGACTCAAAATCTCCTCATGATATGTCAATATCTGATAAGAATCCATCACAAATTATAATTCCTAATAAATACACATGCTTGCACATAACAGGCATCATCAAAGTTTTTATTTAATACTCTTATAATTTGCTAAATATATTTTAATAAAGAATTTAAGAGATGGCCGAATATATGAAGTCGAAGATATTGATGGAAAGATTATGCCATCAAATAATTTTAAAGGTTAATTGGATAAAGGGAGCTATTTAGACATTTTTTTATAATCATAGTTAATTTATTTATATTTTTAAATAATATTGAGTATAATTTTAATTACCAAATATACACGATAAACGATATGAGAGAAGGATATGTGTGGCAGAGGAAGAATAATACCGAATGGGCAGGTTATTAGTGGTAAAGTATAAATAGGGATAAAAAGAGATTTCTTAATGGGGGGGGGGGGGGGGATAGATAACTCTGAAAGCACTTTCGTCATATAAATAAAATTTGACGGGGGTTAGGGAGTAGTTTTGATTTGATTATTTTTTTCTTCTGATTTTCATTTGGTAGATGGGGTGGTGTAAAAAAAGATAGGGAGCAAAATTTTAGAGGAGAATAAGGGGTAATTTTTTTAGTAGAATAATATCTTCATTGGCTTGTGTGAGGGGGGGGCATATAGCGTCAGAATCATGACGCTGTGAAGAATCTGAGCAGTGAAATTAATTTGTTTACTAATTGAGTTTATTATTTTAAATATGATAAATTTATTTTATTTTCCATTAGATATCTTATTTTATTAGGCACATACATTATAAATAAATGTTTTTATTGAAAAGATTTATAACTAAATATTTATTTAGTAAATGTAAAACTATTAAGGAACGACTGATATTTAAAAAATGTAACGCATTACTCTTACTATAAAATACTAAATATTAATTATAAATTTTCTTTTTACTTTTTCTCCATTGATAATTAAAATAAAATTATACAAAAATATAAAATAAGACCTTTTTCTAACAATTTTTTATTTATTTTTAACAACAATTGATTTTCATTTTGATCAGATAAACATGAGAGCATAGTGTTCAACATAGATTTCGCTGTAAAGAATGATCTCTTTTTTCAAAAAATAAAACATATTAGATTATCCAGATCCTCATCATATCTTTTTTCTATCTTTATCACAATTGATCTCTTTTTAGATTTGAGCGCTGTACATAGAAGTTAAAATATTTGAATTAGGGCAACAATCTACACTTACAAGGTGTAGTCCTAGTGCCCTTATTTCTTATTGGTGTTAAAAATGTTTCATATTAGGGCTGAGGCAGAGTTAAATCATGTTATCTGAAGAAATAGCATACTATGGGCTTCAGTTACGGGTAGTATATTTGGAGATACGGCACTAGTCAGTCCATGGGAATGAGACGAGTATGGGCCCTATAATATTAAACAGACAAAAACTTTATTAAAATTTTATTAAAAAACAAATTAATTTCGTATAAAAATTTATAATACACCAAAAAGTATAAAAAATATAATGATGGTAAACATACAAATTAGTCCCTTTTATAGGGAAAATAAAAAGCCCACTTACAAATTAAAATAAAATTGGCGCAAAGTAACAAAAAAAACGTTTTTGCGAAGTTGTGTTAGTTTTAGCTTACATAATTGGGGATAAAACCAACTTCCCTATACTTTTCGGAACTCAAGTTATACCTCTGGATTCAGGACGATTTCTGGGACCTAAATATCTAATTTATAATTACTGAACATCTTACTAAGGAATCCAAAAGTACCCCTGATAAAAAGAAAACATAAAACCAATATTTCATATTAATATATTTAAGGCAAAACAAAAGAGGGATAAAAAAAACTATTTTTAAATTATGTGCATTTATGACTAAAATAAGAGGGACACCAAAAAAAAACTAGTTTAAAATAAAATTTGAAAATCTATATTTAACACTATCTTTATAAAATAAATTATAATATTAATATAAATTAAAATTAAAATACCTTGATTGACAATATTAATTAGATTAACGATATTGACTGTATAAAATTTAACAACAGGTTGACGTGAATTTATTTAAGATTTTTAAAAAATAAAATAAAAAATATTTTTTTCATATTTTTTTAAGAAACAATTTTAAGTAATGAGTAACGTTTTGCATTACCGTTACTCACAAAAAAACGTGTTACTTATTTCCTCTTTAAACAAATAACGAATGCCACTCCTTTCCCTCAAAAAAGTAATGCCGGTAGTAACGACGTTACTTTCATCGACGTTAGTTGCAACACTACATAATATTACTTCAATAGGTTTTACCAAGATTTATGTAATTGATAATCCAATCTGATCAAACATAGGCCTCCATTAATAAAAATACTTCGAATGCCAAAAGATAAACTAATTTGAATAACAATGGCTTTAATTTAAAAAAATATTTTATTAGTCATCAAAATATTTTTTATTAATATTCGATTATCGATTCGAATTTTTCATATTAAATATCGAATAACAAATCGAATCTTATCTAATATCGAATAGTCTTCAATAGGCCTAATTCAAATATATGATCTGAAATCATTGAAAATTGAGCTTTCACAATTTTGACGAGAATTTAGAGGTTTGCAATTCATTTGTTACCTAGATGCAAACTGGTTGTGAAGATCTTAACATTTGGAAACGTCTGAGATACTCCGAATAGTCTAGCATAATCAATATTGAGATTATGGAATATTTAGTGGAAATTCTTACAATTTAAGCCTTGTGACATTGATTTACTCTCAGAATCAATAAAAATAGAATTATTTTCCCTCCTTTCACCGCTTACTCATATATATATAAATAGAAATTTCAATAGATAGAGAGAACTGAATTTTTCTATTTTGGAATTTCTTGGTTTCAAGGATATACCGTGACTTCAACTTATATGAGAAAGCGAAAAACAGAATTATATTTATTATTGTTTAAGTTTTATTGGTTTAGTATTGATTTGTGGAATTTACAGGAGTGAGGAGGAATTATTTTTAGGATAAAAGAATTATCGGGTGGGATCGGAAGAATGGTAGATTGAAAGAGGAAAACTTGAGCCAATGACTGAAAAAGTTAAATATATGCGAAGGCTTTAGTGACTTATGCGCTTGAATCTTTATTAATTCAAAAGTTGATAGATTTTTGGACGATTTTGAGAAGTGGATAATTTCATGATATCTGTTGGAAGCTATGGGTATGTGAGGTGTGGTTTGTTATGTATGGGAAATGGGTACATAAATGGCTTCTGGATTGAAGACATAAACGGGCTCTCGGACCTCCCCCCTAATAAAGAAGCCTGCTTTAGTGAATATAATATTTTAAAAATATTTAGGAAGAATGTTCAATTTTAAATAATATGCAAAGGTTAACTGATAGCGTGAAAGAAGATTAAGATTGGGGAGAAAATTGAGGCTTTTCTTTTAAAATGATTTGATAGAGAAGTTTAGCCAAGTTTGGTAAAGCCAAAATAAATAGAAAGAATGACGCAAAAGGGGGAAAAATGGATAGGTTTATCCAGAAATGTAGGGAATATAGGGTTGGTAAATGATATAGATTTTTTTTTAAAGTAAAATATTCTATAAAATATTATATTATAGAAATTTTTATACCCGACTCTGCTTCCATGTTATCCTCATTAAGAAGAAGTTTAAGTCTGAATCGAAAACGTAAAAGAAGTATAAGCAAACAAAGGCTAAACGAATTATCGCTATCTCGCCTGTCCCCCGCGACGGAAAGAAGTCGAAGTGCTGAACCCTCCAATGACAAATCAACTCTATCCAATAAAAATCAAAATCAAGCTCAAATATCTTTCACAAAAATGGATAACGATCGTAACCAAAGGACTATGTCAGCCCCACCGTCTAGCCCTTCAAATAAGCGCTCGATCTCTATCACATCTCCTGGAACCGATAGAGGAGGCATGTGTTTATTTGTTTATTTAATCAATTCAAAATTTCCAATGCAAAAAATGTCCGACGGACATCCACATCAATATAGTTTACTATTTTTTTTAACAGGCCCTAACCGTCTACCCAATCTCTCATATTTTCTTGATTAATTCTTACCCCTTTCCTAATTTTAGTATTGCGGATTATATCGCTTCATTAAAATTTTATGCAAATGAAAAAAAAAAAGAATTAAAATTAAACCTTGTTGTGATTTATATATTAATATTTACTATATCTAACTTTAAATCCCAAAATTTAGTATTACAAACTAAAAATAAATTTATAAACTTAAATCCTTCTTAGCGCGCCTGTTTTAAAAAAATTCTGAAAGACCTGAATTAGCTGGGATTGTATTTCAGGATATATAACATGCCCTGTGAATTTTAGTCAATGTGAACATTTGAACTACTTTTAATCATAATAATTTTTATATTTGTTTCATAAAACACAAAAATATACGGCATAATTGCCTGAAATTCATAAATCATGACTCTGAATTGGCTAAAACCCTACGGTTTATTTTATAAATTAAATACATCATAACATCAATAAAAAATTTGTCCTTAAAATAGTCCTAACATTAAAAACTCTATTTTTTGGTATTTTATTATTTATTATAAATATTATTTTATTTATTTATTGCAGGCTACCTTGAAGTACCAGGTAAAATTTTTTTTAAAATAACACTAGTTTTGAATTAATTTTAACCCAATTGATAAAATTAATTAAAGTCATAAGTTTATGATAAAAGTGATGAAGGTCACAGTTGGGTCTATAGGTCGGAACGAACTACGGTTATGATTTTAAAATAGATATAGAAATTCGTATATATAATTGGACAGAATTTATATATATGTATATATTTTGCTATAAATTTACTAATAGTAAATTTTTTTAAACAATTTTATTGGGTCGGGCTTGCAGGTCTCTGATTTTTATTATTCTTATATTTTATAAATCATTATCATAAATTTGACACAAAAATCATGATAAAGTAATTGGTAGCGATGGCAGTAGTCTTCATAGTCGTTATTCATCGGCAACTTTCCTAGTAGATAACTCTATCACAGTCTTAGAAGCTACTCATGGAAATTTTACTAAGTAATAATTGTTATATTTAATATAATAATTATTAGTGTTGTAAACCCTCCTTTATCGTTACTTATTAAAATTAATTATTTACAGTTACAAGTTACATCTTTAAATATAACTACTTACATTTTCTAAATTAACTTAGAAGTTACCGTTACATTTAAAAGTAACTTGTTACATTACAAGTTACTTTATAAATTATTTATATAGCGCATCATTTTTAGTTTCATATTTTTATTTTACAAAAAATTTTTGCGATTTACAAATCGTAATGGGTGGGTCTATTTATCGCTCGGCTAGAAAATATCTCTCGGCTAACCACATAATAAATCATTTATAACTAAATATCGCTCGGCTAGTAAATGTCGCTCGACAAACCACATGATAAATTATTTATTACTAAATATCACTCGGCTAACCATATAATAAATCATTTATTACTAAATATCACTCGGCTAGTAAATATCGCTCGATTGGGAAATGTGGCTCGGTTAACCACATAATAAATCATTTATTATTTAAATTACGCTCGGCTAATTACATAATAAATTTTTTATTACTAAATATCGCTCGGCTTATATTTATGTATTAAATTTCCAAACATTTTTCAGTGGGTTTTCACTTTCCTAATATTAATTGAGAATTAATTAGTTTATAAATAAGATAAAGGTTTGGACAGGTGTAAAAAATTATCTATTAGATATTTTAGCTTCAATACTTTTATAAAATTAAAATTGCTCGTAACATTTTTTATTTATTAAAGTAAAAGAAATAATATTCTATCCGCTAGATGGCGTCTTTAAAATTTTTATTATAAAATTTAAAAATAATATTTTTGAATGTGTTTAATAAATTTCGCCATATTCTATTAAATATTTTTAATTTTTTTATTATAAAATATAAAAAATTATTTTTGAATGTGTTTAATAAATTTCGCCATATTCTATTAAATATTTTTAATTTTTTTATTATAAAATATATAAATAATATTTTTGAATGCGTTTAATAAATTTTGCCTTATTGTATTAAGAAATTATATAGGATAATCATAATTATCCAATATTTCTAGAATATCGAATATATTTCATCAATATATATCAGAGTTGTAAACCCCCCTTCTAAAAAAATGGGTTCGGGTGAGAGTTCAGTGAAAAATCTCTGAATCCGGTTCAGGGTAGTATAGTTAAATAGTCGAGTTTTATTGACCCTGAACTCGAGCCGTAGTCGTAAAAAACGGCTCAGACTAGTGCGGCTCAATAAGCCGTTTGAGCCGATTCTATATTTAAAAATATTTTATATATTATCAAATTTATAAAGAATTATACAAACTATTATTTTATATATATGATCCCCAGAGTTGTTAAAATACACTTTTTAAATGGATCTAGATGCAAATACACCCATTTTTTAAGTTTTAAATTAAATATAGGGGAAAATAAATCCTTGAAAAAAAACCGGAAAAAAATTTCCAAATAATTTTTGTTTAAATTTTCAAAAATAATTCTGCCGCTAAAATAATGGAAATATTTCTAAAAAATTATATTCAGTATTTTCTGAAAGTTGAGTATTTATTCTCGACGTTTGAGGATTTTTTTTAGCATTATTTCTGTTTTAATTCTAAGCGATATAGGGCAATCTCAAAATATGGGAATTGATAAATCGGTTGGTAGCTTTGATACTTTATAATTTAGTAGATAACATAAAAAGTATAGATTTGTGACATCTTGGAAAGAAAACATGATAGATTTTTATAGAAATAGATGAAAATTATGATTTCAACTTTTGAAAAAAAAGATGGAAACAAATAATATTTTTATTATTTAATTTCTTTTGGGGAAAAAAAGGAAAGGGAGGGAAATACAATTGAAAGTTATGCTATTATGAGAAAAAAAAATATGTAAAAAACGGAAGTTATTAATATTAAAAAAAATAAAACTCAAATTTTAAGATGCCAGCCAGGCGGCAAAAGGATTTAAAAAGTATTAATAGTTAAAAATTAAAATAACATAATATCAATCACAATTCACTTCAAAATAATCATTTATTACACATCATAAATTTTTTTTTCGAATTCATATTCACTATCACAATTCACTTCAAAATATAATCATTTATTTATTACATATCATCAATTTTTTTTCGAATTCATATTCACAATGGAGGATGCTATATTAAGGTTAATATTCATTTACTCTTCATATTTTCTTTACCTATGAAATGATTCACAAAATATAGTCAATTATTTTATTATGGTTTTTACTTTTTATTCAAATAAAGATACATAGGTTGTTACATACTGTGACCCTATTAAAAAAGGGTTCGAGTTTATTTGCAAAAAATATCTGAACCAGGTTGGGATTCAGGTTCGGTGCCCAGAAAAAACTTAATTTAGTTAAAATAACAGATACAAATTTTTTATTAAAATTAATCTTATATTTAGTTTAAGAATTCACCGTAAAAATATTTATCATTTGGAGTTCTGGTGACCATCATTTAAAAAAACAATATGGAACTATATAATATCATTCTAGGGCCATTAATAAAATTTGACAAATCGCTGTTTTTATTAGGAAATTAGACTGGTAGGGTAGTTTTTGAATTGTTTTAAAAAATATTAATATAAATATTAATTTTACCCAATGTTGTGTGCCGACTCTGAATATTCGCACAAGGGTTCAGACAGCACTCACATTTTCATACATCCAAATTGGAAATCAAAGATTTTGGCAATTTTATTTGATATCAAGAAATTTTATTTAGTCAATTTTAATAAAACCTTGATATGGTTACATTTTATAAAAATCTTATTTGATTTAGGGTTATCTTCGTTCTTTTTATTTACTCAAGATTCATCACTTGAAAAAAAATTAATTTTTTCTATTTTTGCAGATTAAAAAGAGATCCAGCTATGGCCTTAATAGAAAAAAATAAATTAAGAGAGCCACAACCAATAATGTTAAAGAAAATATCAAAAGATTCTATAAGTGAAAAAATTATACAAATGGCGCAATCTCCAATCTTAGAAAATTATATTCCGCAGGAAATTGAATCTGATGGTAATTGCTTTTACCGGCCGGTTTCAATATCGTTATATAAACCACAAACACATCATATTTTTTTAAGACTGATAACGGCAATAGAAATAATTATAAATCCTCAATATTATGATAAAAACCATCCTGATTTTTTCCAAAACTATAAAATTAATCCAAATATATGGGTGAATGAGTATTATGAGATACTCGATTCGGCTCTAAATATAAATGTTTGGGCTGAGCAAATTCATATATGCGCATTAAGTGCTGCTCTTGGCAAACCAATGCCCATCAAATTCATTAAAGGCTTTTACCGATATCCTTTATGGCAGGGGTGTAAGCCAGAGTTTAAAGCCTCATATTTTAATCATGTGGACATCTACCATATGTCCAAATGATATATTTAATATTAGAATCAATCACTTTGTATCTCTCATACCAAATAATTATATTAATACATTAACAAAAAAACCCCAACTGTCCAACAATATCATAAAAGATTTATCATTTTCGATAGAAAATATTCTAAAAAAACCATGTAGCGAAGATATCCGATTAAAATCTTTACCTTTTTTTTTAAACAATATTATAGCCGAAGGAGGTCATCCAAACTATGGGTTTTTTTTAAACATTGTAAAATCCATAAAAATTTTGCTTTCTCCCAATAATATATTGCACGAAATACCTTTAGGTATAAAATATAATATGTATTTTTTAATTTCTAATAATAATTTTACAAATTATAAGAATAAAAATTTATATATAGATGATTGTGGGCCATGGACAGGCTCAAAATCAAGCTCAAGAAAATTATATTATAATATATATAATGATATTGTTCAAGGTCCGTATATTTTTAAAGATGGCCTATTTAGGCAGGACACTCATCTAGGTGGTTCTAGAATTTTTAAAAAAATAGAACCTCAACCTTTAACCAAAAATATAATTGTTCTTTATAAATACTATAGTATTTTAAAGAGAAGTAAAGAGTATAAACGCCGAATTTTAAAAATTAATTTTATTGAAAAGCCTAATTACGATTTCAAAGATATATATTTAGTTGAATATATAGGACAATGGCCAGGTCCCGCTTGCCATGGGAATTCCAAAAAGATTGTAAATCCTTATGTACGGACTTCAAATCAGTTATTATCAAACATTAGAAATCAAATAAAGGACAATCAAACATGTCGCAATATTTATAATAATTATATATTTCAAAAAGACCCAATTAAACCAAAAAATTTAAAACAAATTTATAACTTAAATTATAAACTTAAAAAAGATACAAAAGTACCTCTAAATTTTGCGATTAATATTTTACAAATTACTAATGATCTACATATTTCGCCATTTATCCAATCAATAATTAACATCAAAGAGAAAACACCATCGATAATTTGTTATACTCATTTTATTATTAAAACTATTAAGTTTTTGTCAAACCAATCTGACTTCTGTATATTAGGCGTTGATAAAACATTTAATTTGGGTGATATACCTAACTGCTATAGTATTTAAACATATAGCAGTTAAGAGATATAAAACTGATGAATCCCCTATATTTTTAGGACCAATATATTTGCATGGAGATTCTGATATGACCACTTATCATACTTTTTTCTCTCATATAAAATAAATATTAAAAATATCATATTTGGTAGTGACCAAGAAAAGGCTATAGTAAAACCTATTCAGGAAATATTTAAATTTAATACTCATTTAATATGCACACGTCATTTAAAAGACAATATAAGAAAATATTTGTCGGAAAAACAAGGTGTAAATGCTGTTATGTCTAAAAAAATTATACAGGATATTTTTTCTTTTAATGGGATTTTATTTTCTCGGAATGACCAAATATATAATGAAAAATTAAACGATTTACACAATTATTGTAATAATGAAAATTTAAATATTTTTTTGCTATATATAAAAAATAAATTTCAAAAAGTAATTTATGAACATGTTTACATTCCCCTAAAAAATAAAATAATAAATTGTTTATGGACAAATAACAACTGCGAATCTATGAACCATGTTTTAAAATTATATATAAACTGGAAACAACGTCCTTTAAAAGAATTAATCGAAAAAATTAAGGATATCACAATGTTACAAGAAAAAGAATTTAAAAGATCCTTCTCAGGAAAAGGAGAATATTTTTTAAATAATGAATTTTGCAATTATTTAATACCCGAATCGATAGATTGTCATGATACATTAAATAATTTACTTAATAGTCAAAGCAAAGATAAATTACATTCATTAGATAAAACTTTATCTGTTTTAAAACCAAAAGGCTCAAAAAAACCACATCAGCGACGTAGAATTAAAGCAGAAAGGACTCGATAAAATATTTTTTATAAATTTTAATTCCTTATTTTTCCCCAATTTTCCCCTGCTCATAATCTATTTCATCAATATATATAATTTTATTATCCTAAATGTATATTTAAATCTTCTCTGCCGAACAAATTATATTTTATGAACGCAATAATTATATTATAATAACATTATATATCAATTTGGTAAAAATAATTATGATTTATATATGAATGAATAAAATGAATTACCATCGTTATTAATTTATCTGATTAATAAAAATTGCAAAATTTAAAAAAGACTACTAATTTTTTACCAAAATATAGATAATGCTATAAAAAAAATCATAAATATTTTAGTCATCATGATAGAATATGGCGAAATTTATTAAACACATTCAAAAATATTATTTTTAAATTTTATAATAAAAATTTTAAAGACGCCATCTAGCGGATAGAATATTATTTCTTTTACTTTAATAAATAAAAAATGTTACGAGCAATTTTAATTTTATAAAAGTATTGAAGCTAAAATATCTAATAGATAATTTTTTACACCTGTCCAAACCTTTATCTTATTTATAAACTAATTAATTCTCAATTAATATTAGGAAAGTGAAAACCCACTGGAAAATGTTTGGAAATTTAATACATAAATATAAGCCGAGCGATATTTAGTAATAAAAAATTTATTATGTAATTAGCCGAGCGTAATTTAAATAATAAATGATTTATTATGTGGTTAACCGAGCCACATTTCCCAATCGAGCGATATTTACTAGCCGAGCGATATTTTCAGCCGAGCGATAAATAGACCCACCGATCGTAATTAAATAAATTTAAATGAGATATGAATATGATTTAAATAAAGAAATAATTGCTATGAAAAAAATATCACAATATAATAGTTATTATTTACAATAAATAACGATATATAATTTTTTTTCATAATTTAGCTTAATAATTTTTTTAAAAACATTATTAGCAATGTGTTCTAAAGACGTGCTCACTTTTTTTCAAAAAATAAATTTAACCTAAACTAAACAAACTTTCTACAGGAGCGCTTAATTAGACAATATATTTAATAAACAAAATTTAATTTGGGAATTCTCCATATAAAGATAAGGAATGAAATAATAGGCATATTTCAAAAGAGTAACTAGTTACCTTTTCTTGCATTAATATATAACTAGTTACAATTTTTATGCACAAAAGTTTTAGCAGCACAAGTATATTTATAAAAGAAAGAATTTGATGGGAAATCATAAAGTATTTGAGCTTATTTTTTAATACTACAGTACAACTTATCTAATTTTGTAATTATCTGAATCTTTTTTTATGAAATGAATTTTTTGAATCTTAGCATGAATTACTAGTGACTCATGAGAAATTGTGAAATTTGAGAAATGATGTTCATATTAGACAAATAGCACTACCTATTTTATGTATAATGACTAGAATACAATTTTGAAGCTATACATATTTTTTTTAGATACTTAATACTACCCGATGCTTATATGGTAAATAGTAAATGTCTTAAATTTAAAGGAAATAAGTTACACATTTACAACGATCATGCATTTGTTGCCCAAAGAATAGCCCGGTATTAAAATATATTACAAGATTATATATTTAATAGTATAACAATGATTTCATAATTGTATCATAAAGCTGTAATTTTATTCCAACTTTATATATAATATGCAACTTAATTGAGCGTTTGCATTTCGTTATGTAAAACGCACTTCTTTTTTTTTAGCTAGCTAACATTTTAAAAATTACCTTTTTAGCCAACATTATCCAATTTAAAAAATTCAAAATTTTAAAGGGGCTCTTTAAATTTTTCAAGAGGCTCGAGCCCCCCCCCCCTCGTATTGCATTTCAAATTGTATCGTGCAAATTGATCAGCGTTTATAAACATTTATTAAAAAAACGCAAATTTGCTTGCTTTTTTCGAAAATGCTCAATTAGGTCGCACTACAAGCAGTTAAAATTCATCATATTTAATGATAAATAGTTCTTTTACTTGTTAAATTTATTCTAATTTATATAATTTGATAATTTTAGGAAAAATTCTACTTGATTACCACAATTTTTTTTACAGGGTATATTTATTGTTTTCATAAAGACTAAATAGATTTTACCATGAATATTTTTAGGGATGAAACATGTGATGTATGCCATAAATCTATTGGCAGACACTTTGGGAAAGGCGGATACGTTTGTCGAGGTATCACTAAATTTACAGTTAATTACTTTATTTTTAAAACACTCTTTTTAAGTATGCGTTATATAGTCTTGGAATGAGCTTTATTTGTAACTTTCTATAACAAATAAAATTGTAAAATAATTTTCAAGTTAAAAAAAAAGAAAAGCACAAAATATTAAAAATTTATAACTAGTATATATCCTTACATGAATATAATTAAATATAAATAAAAATTTAATCTTCTTTGCGATTGCTCCACTTTTTCAATAATTTGTTCTGAATGTAGATTAAATTTCTATTATTAAGTAAAAATCGTGTATGCAATCGATTTTAAGATGTCGTACTTTTGAGTTAGGTTTATATTATCCTTAATAAAGAAAAAATCTTCATTTCTTATATTAATTGGTATTGCTGCAATGTTGTAATCCTAAAATTTCGGCGGGGGCATGCTATTACTCTAAAAAAATATTAGGGGGCACGCTAAAATGGGGAAAAATAATGGCGAATTTTTATGTCCAAGAATTTGAGGCAATTTTTATAGTATTTCATTCAAAATACATTATATTTATATTATATCAAATATCTATTTAAAAGTTATATAAAAATTGAAATATATTGCAAAAAATTTTAATGCATTTCATAATTATATAATTAAAATATAATGCATAAATTTGAATAGAACAAAAAAAGATGAAAATAAACTACAATATTCGCCATAGTTAATCTTTTTTAATATTTATAATAATATTAACTGCACGCTTTTTTGATTGATATCGTTAGTAGACCTGTGATTGTCAGCCACTTTTTAATATATGGAGAAGAATTTCATTAACGTTATCATAATTAAACTGATATGACTTGAAAGCAAATCCGTCATAATGATATTCATAAAGTGAAAGCTGCGCTCACTTTAACAGTACTGCACGGAATTGTGTTAATATAATTTTGAAACTCTTTCAAATCACAGGGCATTTATTACTTTCATTATCCCAGAACGAGTTATCTTTTTTTAAATATTCCATATCAGATAGGATAGCTACTAAAACTGTAATAGAATCTATAATTACTCAAATTATCGGAATTATCATTCATTAACCTATTTTGAATTTTGTCTTTTAAGGCAGTAATGAGTTTATTTTCGTTGATACCTGAGTACCTTCTGTTTTCCTTTAACTTCTTGAGATATTTTCATATTTTCTCCTTTAGAAATTGTGACCTGATAATTAGATTATTCCCTATACACTTTTTATAATTTTATAGGAATACAATTTTAAAAATTAAGCTTCTATTGTTTTCAATATGATGCTTAAATTGGCTATAAAATATTTCGGTTTGTTATGTAAATGGAATAGTTTAATTATAAAAAATTGATTTATGTAAAAAAAATCTTTTTTGACATAAAGTGGAAATAACCTAAATCTCAGGCGACAAAAGATTAAATAAATTCATTTAGAAATTATAAAAGAGATTAAACATATCCTTAAACGATTTAGAACATGAATCGTTCGCTTTATTGATTATTCAATATTAGGTAAACTGATTGTTTTTGACTGAAGCAAAAACAGATTATAATTCAAACGTCATACCTCAAAGTGAGATCTTATATGAACCAAAAAATTTTCAGAAATAACAGCGGATTTTAGAAGATCCAATAGGGTATGAATTGTCCCCTCTTCATCTTTCGATTCCAGTTCAATTAGGTCTAGAAATTTAAAAATACGATCACCATGAGACTACACCAATGTCTATTATACGCAAATAACTAAGGCGGGTTTATTTGACAACGTAGTAGATTTATCTACAGGATTGTAATATTCGATTTTAAATTGTAATATTATTTACAATTTTTATTTGCATTTCCTTGGCAATAAATTATTAACAAGGCAGAATATCTAGAATGCAATTCATATCTAAACCGTCGTGCTCTTGTAAATCTATTAACGATTCAAAGTTCACAAATGGGCAATTTGATTTTGCAAGAACTATTGGATATCTTTTTTTAAGACCAATTAAAATAGGGAAGGGTTTTTGAATTAAAAATGTATACGCTAAAAAAGTTTAAAATCTGCGGTTGCTTGCTTCCGCGTGACCCCACATTCGAGTACATCCCTCTATTGTTGCCAAAATATACAGTTATTTTAATATATTTGGAAAAAACTAAAATATATTAGCAAAGCTTCCATTGAGTTTCCTGTAGGATTATCTGTTAACATTAATTATTCATACCAAGATTTAAATTTTGAATTTAATAGGCCTTTAGATATATTTATATCTTCTGAATAAAATTTAGCTAAATATTTAATTTCAATATCAAGATTTAATATATCCTAAGAAAGATTTATAGGTAATAGTATACGTAAATTGGATAGAGCCTTTTATAAATCATAAATAGTTAATGATTTGATCAAATTTGTATCCAAATGTAGAATAACAACGGTTATTTTATAGTAATCTACAATTGAATGCAAGTAGGCTTGCGAATCTGAAAATCACATAATTTTGCTTTCGCCTCAACAATAACATAAATCTCTTAATGTTCGTTATCTCTTAGTTTTCTAAGTGATAATATTATAATATTCGTGATTCTCAGAGCTTCAGCCAAATCCATATAATTTTTTTGAAAATATTACATATTAATTGTGGTGTAATTGAATACAGTGGCGTCACTAGGGGGGCGCTAGGACTCGAGCCTCCTAAAAATTTGAATAGCCCCCTGAAGCAAATATTTTTTTATATAATGGCTCCTTAATATCCCTTTGAACTAAAACTAATTATAATTGCCCCCTGAACGATTTCTTTTATAATTCTATTGAGTAATATATAGATTTAATTTTATTATTTAAAAACTAATAAGACTATCTAAATTTTTATTAAATGAATAATATTTTAATTATTAGATTAGATTAATACATATAAATCATATTTTCACTTTCAGCTTGCAATCAGTTAAAAATAGAATATCAATATCACTCAATAAATATTAATTTAGCATTAACAGTTGAAGCTTAATTGACTTTTATTATTTAAATTATTATATAACCCTAATTAGATAAATATTAATTTAACAAATTTAATATTGAAATTAGCCGAGTTCAAAATCACTAATCAACTATATTATTGATTTTTAAATTTGATTACCATGCCTCTTCCTAAGATTATTATCAAGGTCCAAATCCAAATAATTATAAGAGATTATTTATAAAAAGTAAGTAGACATATAGTTTATAATCCTCTATTATATATAATTGGCTATAAAATATTAGGTAAGATGCCACTTTTACAGACGTATTTGATAGTTATATAATATATTACAGTTAATAGTTTAATAAATTTCACTAATAAATGATAATAAATATAAGTAAAGTAATAATTGGTATTCAAATATTTAACGCCATCTATTTATTTAGAAATATTATCAAAAATTTAACATCTTATTATTCATCCCACAATGGATGTAATAAATTAGATAACTTTTCTTCTCTTTTTTTCATGTTTTTAGGAAAGCTATTTTTTTTATTATTTGAAAAACAGTTTTGAGTTAAATTTTTAATACCAGTATATTTTTGATATTTTACAAACTCCTATTATTTTAAGATATAATATACCAACTAGAAGTGGTGCAACAATAATATATAAAATCTTAATTGCTTCTATCATATCATTCTGGTTCTTATTTATAGTTACAAAATATTTTATTTCTAATATGGCATCCCTGCCGTGTAAATAACTTAAGGCTTCAATATATTTGCATAATATCTTCTAAAGATTTTTAGTGTTTTTGCTTTATCAATTTATCTAACATAATAGATATCAATGTCTAAGATTTAAATGTAAGAAAAATACACTTTATATTTTCGTGGGATAAAATATTATTACACAGGGAAGAAATATTTTAATTATTTTTAACTTTTTGCTAAAACTTAAAATAGAATATACATATTTGAAAATATTTTGCAATTCATAATTCATAAAAACCTTTCATTATTTTTAAAAAATTTGCTGTGGAAGGGGGGGGGGCGTTAGCTACGCGCCTGAATGCCATCAATAATTTTTTAAAATGATTCAGTAAGTAAATGATCTTATAATTAGTACCTGTTTAAAATATGACTTGTTTTTGATGTAAGTTCGAAATAATCAATATTATAAATTGCACTATAATTATTTTTAAAATATAAAATTGAGGAAAAACAAATAAAAAGGTGTATTTTTTATTAATATTTTTTTAAAAAACTGATTGCATTTAGGCTTCGATTTAAAAAATTCTTAAACCTGTTTAAATAATTATGAGATCACACATTATATTTTAGATTTAATGAGTGATTCTTTTTAATCCTTAGTAACATAATCATTGCAATTTGAGCATCATTTCTTTTCTTGAATAATTAAATAATTTTTATTGTGAAAAATTAGAATTTACTCATTATCATTTTTTATTTATAATTTTTCACCAAAAATTTTTCAATTCACTTCTTTTTTGCAGATTGTGGGGTTGTAGTTCACAAAGGTTGTCATGATAGAATTGATCAACGCTGCCCTTCTGCGAAAATAACATCAGTGGAAATGTAATATAAATGATTTTTATAAAGTTATGTGAAATGATATATATCATGTGAGAATAATATATAAAGAAAAACAATTTTAATGTTTCCTAGAGTAAGAAATAAGAGTCCAGAGTGTGAAAACTCAGCTATCGGTGTTTCTGACTTGCTTCGAATCCCAGTTAAAAGATTTTTTGTATTTTCATTTATTAATTAGAGGTGGGAATGTTAGAAGGCTGATGTGGTCTAGTTTTTAAAAATTAGTAAGCATACTTCATACACCGGATATATCATTCTAATAAGTTATGACCTATAATATATATCATTTTAAATAAATATTATAGGATATACGTAATGCCAACTGAAACATAGAAAATAAAGCCAATAATCGATTATCATTATATTTTGGAATTTTAGTGTTTTCTGGGTAAATAAAAATTGAATTTCACGACATATAAAATTTGTATGCAAATTTAAAACATAATATATATTAAAGACCTGTAAAAAAAGTTTATTTACCACAACGACAATCTATTACTTAAAATTATTGACCTGTAAATTGATTTATCCAAACTAAATTCTAAAATAATAATAAGGAAAACTACTTTCTGTAAAAATTATTCTGCAATTGTGTACCTAGCTAGCTAATAAGAAGAGCCAATAGAGGGGAACCCGCAGACATTTTTCTAGGGTGGTGCAAAAATATTAATTATTAAAATATAAAAATTTTGGTTTAAAATATTTCCTAACGTGGCTAGATGATTACCGAATACTATAATTTTGTCACGGTATTCATCTATTTTTGGGTAGAGATAGTGGTGTATGTTCATGCGCATATAAGAATTGGTTGAAATAATAAATTTATATTTCAATTCAAATTTATATTGGCCTGTTTTAATATTTTATTAAATAACCTTAAATATATTTGGGCTCTGTGATAAATGCTATATAAGATATTATTATTATAGTTCATACATTTTGTATTACATTCTGTTTGGATTATATTATCAATATGATTGACATTAAATATTTTCTAGCGAATGCAACAATAAAGTCATATGTAGTATAATTAGTAGATTGGCGACGATTAATTTTCTTATTATGAATAAAGAAAAAAACCCATTTACTGTAATTGGTAAAAGTGATGAATCAAATATAATAAGAGTGGTGAAATGAATATTTTAAGTGAAACGAATAATGGTAAACAAGTAAATAACAACTTTGAATCAAGAAATATAACACAAGTAAAATTTAATAATTTTGATAAACAAAACATTGGAGATAAGAGGGTATTAATAAATAAGGAAACCAAGATAGAAATATTATTTCCATACATATGAATTATTAATTTGGCAGAGATAAGGTCATTTATATATCTGAGAATCTTGAAGGAACTTAATTATGAGGAGTTGAAGTTGGTAAGGCAGTATTTAAGCCCACTTCAACTTTGTTTTTGAATTAAGTTTATTCGAATAGAAAGAGGAAAATGTGAAACAGTTCTGGCAGGTTGGCTTTAAAGATTGGCACAAGAGTGTAAGTTCGAATCAGACCCTGATGGGAGATAGAGGGATCAGGTGGTGGCTGGAATTAAACGGGTTGCATTGGAGAAAGATATTCTCACCAGATTTCCAGATGGTAAATGACCTGGGAGAAAGGGTGAGCTTTCAACAAGTTTTAAATATGGCTTTGGCAATGAAAGGAGATTAGGATGAAGTTACAAATATGATGGTAAAAAGGTCAAAAAACCTAAGGAGCAATTGGATAAATTTTTGGGGGTCTAGAGCCCGAAGGAAATTCTTATCCTTTTAATCAAAAGTATCCATATAATATTAAAGAAAAAGGAAATTTTCATTATTACAATAATAATAATAACATGTAAGGGACGTAAGCTACATGTTATGCATTAAGATGACAATAAATCAACGGATTCAATTAATCACATCTTCCAAATTGGTAGAAAGTGCTAAGATATCTGTTAAGATAAATGGAGTACCGATTGAATTTGATTATGATATGGGTGCAAAAGTATCGGTATTTGTAAAACAATATTGGGATGAAATTAACAGTCCAAAACTTGGACCAACAAAACCATTGTCAGTTTCCGGCAATCAACAGCTAGACGTCATTGGTGAAACTATTGCAAGAGGGAACTTGAAAATATAGACAGAACATTACCAATTGTGGTTACCCATTCAAATGACATACTGTTTGGACTACCATGGATACTGGCATTTAATATGTTTATTACACGACAACTTATAATATGTAGTATAACAAGTAAAGATATTATAACAATGGATAAACAAATTGTTGCCATGACTACAGAATATGTCAGTGTTTTGGATGATAAGCCAACTAGTTTTGATCTTGCATATCATGGATTTATTCAATATCACGCATTCGTTTACAACACTTATTTTTATTATAACATAAAATATATATAATTTGTAAAAAATGACTGATATATAAAGCATAAGTTATGCAATATTTATAATTTTTTTAAATTATAATTTAATTTTTTTATAATGCATAAAAATAGAAATAGCTACCCGGGTGCTGGCTTCCCCATTCAAACGGGCATGCTTTATATTACGACAATATGTCAATCATAAATATTTAGCACTTTAAATAATATTTATGATTTATAATATTAATTAAATTATCGATTTATAATGTATATTCATTTTTTGCATTCATCTGCTCTTCCCGCATTATAATCCCCTAACGAACGGACAGACTTGAGTTCGGCTAGATCGAAGTCGGGACCGACTCGAAACTAATTTATTACGAATCTGAATTTATTTATCTGAAAAACCGGGCTGCTAAAAATAAATTTGCAGTTTTATTTAAGATGTTATTATCCAATTTGAACATCTTATTTCATTTTGCCTATGAGCTAGAGTCATTAGCTCAACCCATAGGGGTGGGGGGCAAAATTTCCCCCAAACACTCTTCGGGCCCCTCGCACAAGAAAATGAGTGCAATTAGTAATAAACAATTTTTTTAAGTAAGAAACAAATTTTTTTGAAAATATTATATTCCCGTCAAAGGCCTTCAAAAGCGGGCTTAATCCAAAAAAATTATGGTAAATAAAACCATTCAAACCCCTCACACTAACTCCCATACTATAATGCTGGATACGCATGTGGCTAAGGTTTATTAGATATAAAGTTATAAATTATATTGTGCAAAATATTTATTTTTGAGGTTTGATTTGATAAAAATTATGTGGCAAGTGCTATAAGCTTAAAGTGAATGATATCCTTAATTTTTACAGTTGTTTTTGTTAAAATTCATCGTTAAAAATCGAAATTAGCTAACCTCTACTTATCCATTTTTTAGTACTTGTTAACTCATATTTGTCATAACGTTTGTAAATTTTACACAGTCCGCAATAATTATTTTTATAAGTATTGGCTCGCCTCATAATTTTCTTAAATTTATACTCGTTTACAGGTTCTAGTATATAGTATAGAAATATTAAATCTAAATAAATGAGATTTTTTAGACGAAGAATCAAATATTTTAAATGATTAAAGATATTTTGATATTTACAGACTATTCAATAAATTTGTCTTATAATGTGATATGCGAATCCTTTCCTTGGTTAACATGGTGCAATATATACCCTTGATAGAAACGGTGCCTTTGTGAATGAATATAAATTAATTAACTTTTTAAGTTGTCAATTATATTGATAAATTTTTCGTATAATATGTAAATTATATATTATAATTAATATTTAAAAGGGATTGTTAGTTTACTTTTATGAATAAAATTTAAGGAATTATATATTTAATATGTTTATGGTGTGTTGTTGAAAACCTTGATTTATATTTTTGAAATCGGCTAAATAAAATTTAGTCTAACTATTATTACCATAACCTTGAAATTTCACTAAAAAGGAATTAAACCTTTCTTCCATCTTTTCGGGGAAATCTCAAGGATATGATAATATGTTTGACAAATATCTTGATCTAACTGTTTTTAAAAAATTGACTAAATCTATGTTTTTAGCAATGCTAGTTTATGAGATATATTTTTCTAAATTTAAAATTAAAAAACAATTATAAAACCATATAAAAGATAGTAAAATTTAAAAGTATAAAAGTTTGTATACTGTATTAAAATTTTTTTATTATAATTGCTTTCCCAAAAAGGAATCATAATTGATATGGATCATTGGTTGATTAGAATCGACACAAAACTCCCCTACCCCTTAGAAAATATGCTTGAGTAAAATTTTATGTTTCATAATTATTTCATATTGTTGATAAAACCTCTCCTTTCTATAACAATTGTCTATAAAAAATGCATTAAATAATTCTAAAAAATTTAAACAATGCTACGCAACTATTAATCAAATTTTATTTAAAAAAAATATGTTCTTTTCATGTTTAAAAATTAAAAATATATAATTTCTATATTACTATTTTTTATTCTAACTTGTATCTTGATACCAATTTAAAAAAATTTTTCATTTTATCAATAACTTATTTATACTGTTTATCAAACGAATTGAAGTTCGATTACCTATTTGTGGCTGACGAAATTGATTGAAGAATTAATAAGTAAGATTAACGCAAACCAGATATTTAAAACTTCTATATTCTCTACTCAGTTTAGTTGCTAATTTTGGGAATTTATTTTTTATTTTACCAATTATTTTTTTTATTTTTTTACATACCGTCTACCAAACAAATAAGGCAATAAAATCAGGGATCCAAACCAAACGAATATCGGTTCGGTTCGAACCTCTAAAAATCGGTTTGAACACTTTTGTATTCAAACCTACATTCGAATTATGTATAGGGAAGATTTTTTTTATTTCATAATTAAAATAAATAACACATACATAAAACCTTCATTTTTATTAATTGCACATTATAAAATAATGTTTAATTTATAAATATAACAAATAAATATCTTTGATTAATTTTAATAAGAAAAATTACTTAAAATTTTTTATTAGCCGCACAATTAATATATATTCAAAATTCGTCTCACTCAAATTACATCTATAAGGAAATAATATAAATTTAATTGTTGAGAAACATCCTTCCACATTAACTTGGGTAGCCGGCACTTCCAGTATGATATCAGATTTGATGTGTAATTAATCATTATTAATACTATATGTAAATAATTTATATATTGGATTTAATTTTTCTCTAGGCATTATAATTTATAAGCTTAAAATATTTAAAAAATGTTGTAAAATGGCAATATACTAAAGTTTATAAAAATTATGACTGACTATCTATTAAATGTGATTGATAATAATCTTTAAAGCAATTCTATAATTAAAATTTTTCAATATACTAGTAATAACTTTCACATTATTTTACAAGCATAAAATTATGAGACTCGAACCGGTTCAGAGGCATCTTAAAGGTTCGGTTCAGGTTCGGATAGAAATTTATTGAGAGGTTTAGGTTCGATAAAAATACCGGGTTTTAGCGGTTTAATGGTTGGGTTCAGGTTCGGTTTGGATCCCTGAATAAAATGTACAGATTAAGTAATACTTAAGGGGTTGGTTTAAGTTCAGAATTAGTGTTTCCAAAAACGTGGTTAACTTTAAGCCTAAAGCGTGACAATCATAATGTTTATAATTTGGTTTCTTTTTTTGTGGTTCATAAAAGTGATTGAGGAATCAAAAAATACTAGTCAATTAATAGATATTAGCCTTTATTTTCCATTCTAGCATGATGCCAATTTCGGTAATTTTTTTATTTTGTAAATAACTTTTTTCCCCTTAATCTGATTATACCAAACGGATTAAAATAATGTAGAACAAATCACTAAACTTGATAGAATCTTCAGAATATATTTCAAACTCTTTTCAATCGTGCTAGCCAAAATTTTGTAGCTAATAATTTATTATTTATATTGCTGCTATACAGGTTGAAATACTCACAAATAAAGCACGAAATATTAGGTTCTGAAATAAGTGTGTCTAGTTGTTCAACCAACTTTAACGGAGATGATACAAAGATATTACATATTTTAAAAAGCAAAATAAAATAACCACAGGAAAATCATATCTAATCAAAATTTTTATAAACCGGTCCTGACTGAAAGCCAAGCAGATGTGGGTTTGGGGGCGGCCCTCTAAAACAATTTTGAAATCCTACCCTTCCCCCTTGGATAAACTATACCTATGCCATTAATTGATTCGATGAATGCATGGTTTCTACAAGAGGATTTTATTTTTTTAACATGACCAATTCGCAATGCATATATCAGAATGACAAAACACTTTTCATCAGGTATCGATTTGACTTTACTGAAAGGTCTGCATTGCATCAAGCATTGATTTAAGAATGTCTGGATTTTTATAAAAAAGAGAGGCAAACAAAATTGCGTCCACTTTAATTTATGGTTAATGGCATTCTTTTTGACTTAGATAGTACCTTTTTTATATAGTAATTTTGTTTGATTGATGAAATCTAACAGCAATAATTAATTTTAATAATATTTTTATCAAATATTTATGCGTTAAAAGTTTTATATTAGAAATAAAAAATAACATTTAAAGCAAATAATTATAAAAAATGGATTTAAAAAACTAAAAAAATAATTATAAATTAAGATTAGCTCGGAATAGCTTATGATAAAGCTAATATGATTGAACTTGTGCATGGCTATTACTAGCCTTTGTCTGAGATATCTTTCCCGAGGTTTATAGGTAAATTTACGAATGAATTAGTCTAGTTCTATGATGAAAGATAATGCAAGGCCACCATATGTAGCTAAAGTAGTGGAAATGATTGGTGTAAATGTGTCGTCTGATATCATGGAATATTTGGCGATAACTGTAGAGTTGGGCAGGGCCTCAAAAAAATATAAACATATTTTAAAAATGAGAGTATCTTATATTCAAGATATTTTTTATAAAATGGTCATTACCTATTAGTTAAATTAATTATAAAACAGTTATATTATTTAAATTCTATTTCTACATTTTTCACCTTTATTTATTTTACCTTTTAAAAAATTAATTATTTGTTACTACATTTTGACAACATATCATATCAGTAAATATTCAAATAAAGTAAATCCCGGAAAATAAATAATAATTTCAAATTGGAAAAAAACTACAATTTTGGAAATCTTTTTATTTTTTAAAAAAATATGTGTAAAAATGTATATATCTTTTTAAAAACATTATATAATAATTAATATTTTCGACAACATTATACATAAAAAATCAATTCCCAAAAATAAAAATAAAAAATAAAGATAAAAAATAGGTTAATGATGCTTACTACCTTAAGGTACTACCTATCAAATTTGAATTTTGTTTATTTTTCATTTGGATAGGCACTACCAAATATATTTATAATATATATTTGAAAAATCATGATTTTTGGAGGTTAATGATGCTTACTACTAAGTGAATGTATAAAAATATTCTAAATACCAACCTAATTTGCTAAATATCGACCAAAATTTATTAAAATGTAATACGACCTTTATTATTTAATATATTAATACGGAATCACGTGGTCGAGTCCGGCCTCCTATATATTATCCCCCCAAGGATGGAACCACCAAGTTAGATTAAGAAAAAAAACATGACCATTCCCGGGATTTGAACTCGGGACCATGGGATCAGTAAGCCAAGCTCTTGCTAACTAGGCCATAGAGGCTTTCCAAAAATCACGATTTTTCAAATATATATTATAAATATATTTGGTAGTGCCTATCCAAATGAAATATGAACAAAATTCAAATTTGATAGATAGTACCTTAAGGTAGTAAGCATCATTAACCATTTTTGGAAAACCTCTATGGCCTAGTAAGTAAGAGCTTCGCTTACTGATCCCATGGTCGCTGGGTCGAATCTCGGGAATGGTCATGTTTTTTTTCTTAATCTAACTTGGCGGTTCCATCCTTGGGGGGATGATATATAGGAGGCCGGACTCGACCACGTGATTCCGTTATAATATATTAAATAATAAGGGTCTTATTACATTTTAATAAATTTTGGTCGGTATTTAGCAAATTAGGTTGGTATTTATAATATTTCCATACATTCACTTGGTAGTGAGCATCTATAACCTAAAAATATATAGTTAAAACACGCCCTTTATTTTACGAACAAAAACCCGGGGCAAAATTGAAACATTTTTCGCATAATTGTTTCTTAAAAAAAATTAATTACCAAATAATATAATACAATTTCTTACAATGTATCATCATCTATTGCTAACTCTTCCATTTCATTCTGAATGATTTACTCTGTCCTCCTATCTGACACCATATTACTCGTTTGAACACCCACTTGTCCATCATTACAATTTTGAATATTATTACTTCCCAACCTCATCACTTCGGGTCTCCTTTGTATCATTCTTGCATTAATCATCGGGGAATCCACTTGCTGCCCAATTTCTCCAGACATCATCATGAACGTCCCTCTAGGTAGCGTACGTCCAGCCGTCATGACTCTCCGAGGTGGTCCATTTGATTGCCATCTATTCTCATTGATTTCATTGATCCTCCACTTTGTCAATGGATTTATGTCCTATCCCGCCGCAATTAAAACATTTTACATTGAAACTTGGTCTTCTCATTGGTACCATCGGAGCCATCATTTAATTATCTGCCATTCGGTCTCACCAATATTTCACTCAAAGTTCTAAGCGATTTCATCGGCATACACTCCTCAGTTTGCTGACGTATCCACTGATCATGCCATTGATTGGCCAGACGATGGTTCATATTCAATACTTTTCATATTGTTGGTCGCCTTGATATAGAAGGTGTTGTCCATGTGAGAATGTATTATAAATATTATTTTATTTTTTTTTACTAAAATAAGACTCAAACTTCCTTATTTAATTATAAATTATAGGAAAAATTTTTAATAAAAACCCTTTTTTTCTTTTACAACAACTTTACAACTACATTATTTTCTTCATATTTATTTTTCTACTGTTATTTAATTCACATAACATTTAATTAACACGTTCCAGTTGCTTATCAAAAACAATTTTATATTCTTTACTTTCCCAATGATTTTGATTACTTTAACCTACTATATATTTTTTTTTACTAATTTTCAAAATTAATTACTTTTACTCAATTCTTAACCTCTTTTATCTTCCAATATCCTAACTTTTAATTTTTTAAAAAAAAACCAATTCTTCTACAATTTACCTTCAATCATAATTAATTATTTTTCTTTGAAACACTAAATTCTATCTTTACAATCCCTCTTTTTAAAAAAAAATAACTTTTACAACACACTTTTCTAAAATTTTTCCTTGTTTAATCAATTCCATAATTTATCGCTTTTACTCAAAATATATTTATTAACCTCTTTTCTTATTTCACAATTTATATTCTAATTATCTTACAAAACGAATTTTCTACAACTTAAATTCCTATAATAAATCTTTTCCCTTTTCCTTGAAATTCACTTTTAACCCCATTTTTATAAACGACTACGCACTCTTCTTTTTTTTAAAAAAACGTTCCTATTTCATATTTTTAAATCTTTCCCATTTCTCTTTTTTTAAAAACTAATTAATTACTCCCTCCTTATTTTTTATTCCTTCTATTATTCTTTAAACATGTAATTTTTAACTATTTCTTTTAAACAACCCCCATATTACTTTACTTTTTATTAATGAATTCTTTACATTCCCGCGTATATTTTACAACTGTGCTAATTTTAACAATTTTATTTTAAAATCTATTAATTCTAATCAAATCCATTCAAAGTAGTTACCTTGAGAACCATTTACACAAAATAACCCCGAAAATATACATATTAATTTAATTTCAATAATCCCATATATATTTTTTATTTATTTTTTTTACATTACTGACCTATCCCAACACAAAAATTTTTTTTTTTAACTCAGCGTATTTACCTATCAACTAAGTTTATTTGCGACATTTTACCTGATCTCTATAGCAACGCACTTCCGTCATATCTTTCAATCTTATTTTACACAATTTATTACCTAAATTTTCTATAATTATCCCCTTTTCCCATTTTTTATTACTCCGATACATCCTAACCCAGACCATTTGATCAAATATATATTCATATTCCACAATTTCTAACATTCTCGAAACAGGTTTTAACATATCTAAAAAAGTATTAGTTTTCCTTCCCAACATTTTTTCCGAAGGAGATTTACCATCCCTTCCTACCCCATTATTATAATACAAATGAGCTATCCAAACTTCTTCTTTGCCTTCCTTGGCCTTTCTCAACCAACCCTTAACAATAGCCACCAATCTTTCTGCATCTCCGTTAGAACTAGGGTGATACGGTGGTGCCAGCATATGTTGCACATTATTTCTCAAACAAAAACTCCCAAACATTTCGCTCACGAACCCCGACCACCATCCGATACCACCCATTTCGGAATGCCAAACCTAGATCATAATTTCTTCAAATGTTACAATTCCCGTAGTTAAACCATGTACCTCTTCAAATTCAATCCACTTTGAAAAAGCATCTACACTTAAAATAAATTTTTTATCATTACACTCAAAAAAATCCATATGCACTCTTTCCCAAGCTCTATTTACTTTCGGCCAAACAATTTTTTCAATTTTCCCATTCATTCCAGGCCACCAAACATATTCCCTTCCCCACTGTTTCATTCGCGAAATTCCTTGATGGCCCGTGTGTAATATTTTCAGAACTTTGTCTTTCAGCTGACTCGGTATAACCGCTCTATGCCCTCTCATAATGCAACCGTCTACCACAGTTAACTCAGTTTCAATACATTAATTTGTTCTCACCGACATCCTATGGCTTTTTCCCCATTATTTGCAATTTTAATAATTTCATTTTCTTATCTTTTAACGTATAATTTCTAATATCCTCCCATGTGGTGGGACCACCCCTTAAACCACAAGTTAAAGTACAAATTAAGGGCCCTTCACCTTTCCTATCTTGACCTGACAGTTTCTCATCGGTCTCTTCACCAACTATCAATCTTGATAAAATATCTGGTAAAAGATTTTCTTTTCCTTACCTATACTTTAATTCCAAATCAAAACTACCCACTAATAATAACCACCGTTGAAGCCTAGGTGATATTGTCCTTCTTAAATAAATAAATCAACGGTTTATGCCTGTAGTCAATGGCAACATTATAATAAGTTGTACTTTTGTTGTATCAAGAACTTTATTATCATCAATATATATCAAATCATGTCCGAAGACAAAGCTTCTTCAGACATGTGATCCTTTTTCCCCATAATCACTCACCAAAACTAATTTCAAAAGATTACTTTTGATCGACATTTCTTATATATCATTATATATATAAATATATAACAAAAATATAGCTTATTATAATAGTATTATTTTTATCAACTGACTCAATTTATAAGCTCATTAAAATATATAATAATAATGATGCCAAAATGGCCTTATTATGTTTATCAAAATAGAAATTTCCCAAATCTCATGCCTATACCATCTTGGACAGTTTTTAATAAAAGTAGTTGCAAACTTGAATTTTTAAGTTTTTATGTTACCCTTAATCCCAGATAGTATGTGTCAAATACGTGTATTGGAAAAGAAAAGTTATTTATAATTAAAGATAAACAGTTAATTTGTAAGGATAATTGAAAAGTTTAAATTATAAGCAAATTTGACAATTATATGAAATAATTATTGATGGTATGTAAATTTTAGTAGTATAAATAGTGAGATCGAAAATGTAATATTTCAAGAAAAAGAAAAGAGAAAGATTTATAATTGTTACTTTATATTTTGATTTTATATTTTTACGCTTTAGTTTATGTTATTTTAGAATGATTTTGATTAACTATATATTTAAATAAATTAATTTATTGTCTTCAATTCTTGATCTTAATAATCACTAATTGTTTTAAACAGTATAGACACTAATTTTCGATAAAATTAATACTTTACTTTTGTAAATGGTCTAATGCTATTTCTATAGGACCTAAAATATCTGTATCTTTAAAAATTGGACTATCAATTTTTTCAAAAAATTTATTTATATTTGAATAATGTAGTCACTCTTTCTTATAGGATATTCTAGTTATGCATGGAACTTTCAACTGATTACCTATTGGCTCTCAGATTCTGGCTTTTCACATGCATTCCATAGTTGTACATTTTCCTATCATTTATAGGCTTAGCCAGGATTTTGCTGGGGGGAGGTTGGAGTTCACTATTAGGTTGGTTTTATACTCTTAATTTTATTGGAGATCTTTAAGATCACACTTATTATAGGCCTTAGGCAATGTTAATTTTAATACTTCTTTCTAAATTTTGATTATAGTTATTATTTTAAAATATTATAAACTTTTGCTTATTTTTCTTTGAAATTATAGTTTACAGTGATATATTATATAAATTTTTGTAGGAGCGGAGGATAGAGGATGTGCAGAAATAAAATTTTTATTAGCATGAAATGATATTTATGGGAACAAGCAAATTTATGAAAGGGAGATTAGTCCTTGCACCCTTCTCCTCCTTCAGGCTAATTTTTCTATGAATCATTTATTATTTTGCGAATTTATATTATCAAAATTATATATCATTTTTAATAGATATTTTATAATTCCAAGAAATTTATTATTTTTGTTCCAATCCAAGAATTAAATTTAAAAAAAGATATACAATAGTTGCATAAATTTTATATAGAAGGATTATGTTATATAAATAAAAAGTGAATAAAAGATTATTGTTAAGATAACAAGCGAATCCTTAGACAAATCTATGGCACAATCTTAAAAAACTCTTAAAAGATATTATAAAGTACGATGAAAAATAATCAAGAAATACCAACGTTAATTCTTAAAAGGACAATATTGATTCGTTTACGAAATTCTGAACTAAACTAAATGCTTATTTCACGTTAAATGATAAATTTGACAACGACCAAAAACGAGCAGCTCTTATATCGACATTATCAACATATCATTTAAATAAAATTATTCTAAAATTCGCTCAAGTCAATAAGTAAAATAAAATAAGACGATATGTTGGATTACTTGAGAGCAATGAGAAAAAAAATAGCACCATGAAACTTTCAATTTGTAAAGCGTGTGCAAAGAGACCGGGAAACTAACTTTAAATTAATAAATTCAATCACAAAATGTAATTTTAAAGAAAATAAATAGCAAATAACGGGTTAGAAAACAGAGAGATAAAAACAAAGTTCTTGTTGGAAAAAGATATGGAAATAGAACCAGTCGAAAAAAACTACTTTGAACTAAGGATAATATATGAAAAGGAGAAATTAAAAGGAATATTTTATAGTCTAGCCTAAAAGGAGCGAAACGAAGATAAAATAAAAATTAACGAAATTAACTTTAATCAAAATGATAAAAGGCCCGGGTTCGGTTTAAGGTTAAAAAATAGGTGGGTTCGATTCGGGTTCGGTTCAGAGAATATTTATGAACCCGGGTTTGGTTCCGAATTCAGCTCAGGTTTAGGAATTTTTGAATTGGTAAAAAAAAATAATCTATATTTAAATTATAATTAAAAAACTAGACATAAATTTGGTATAAAAAATAAATTTTTTATTTTATTTATAGGTAATAAATAGTTAAAAAAACAAAGCATAGTCATGTATAGATTTAAAAATTTTATTTAGACGTATTTCTTTAAATTAACAATAACCAGTGTTGTTAAAATAGCGCGGTACTTTTTCAATAGCGGTAGCTTTAGCGGGCTACCTTTTTTAGAAAATAGCGATAACGGTAGCTAGCTACTTTCAATTTTACATAATAAATACATCTAAAAATTATTAAAATATATTTTTTATTAAATCTAAAATTATAATCCTTTTATTTAATTTAATTTAATAAAATTTATATTTAAAAATATACATTATAAATCTAGTTAGCATTATAAATCTAGTTATTAAAAATGTGTGAGATTGTTGAAGATAGCGAAATTTCTTTGGAAAATGAGAAAAATATAGATTATCCTCTCCCAAAATTTAAAAAATACTTTAATCTTGAAGAAAAAATTACTACTGGATATCGGTTTCGATGCAAGATGTGTCGCAAAATTTTATCCTCAAATTATACAAGCAGCTTTAATTTGAAAAAACATTTGAAGGTAATATATTAAACAAATTTTATATCAATGTGTAGAATAATCTTTAATTTTTAAAATAAATTTAAATCAAAGACCAATCATTTTTTATATATTCATAAATTTTATCTAAATTTTTTAAAATAGTTATTTCAATCATTTTTATGTACTTATCTCCTACATAATTTTTATTCTAAGTAGGGGAGACCGGGGTAAAACGATAGGCATTTTGCATATTTACCATAAAAATTTTAAACAAGAGTCAATCACAACAAATTATAGATCAATGTGTAGCCTTATCCCTCTTCTACAAGATAAAAAAAAGTGTAGCCCTCTACCTATAATATTTTAGGAGCTATGATTAGTTATGTAAAACTACTCATTTTCGCCATTTTACCCTGGGTACAGGGTAAAATGGATAAGCACTAGGGTAAAGTGGTTAAATTAATATTTACATATTTATTGTTTTATTTAACAAATATTACAAATTTAAGATTTATTTATGATTTTTATTTAAAAACTAATAGATACAATAAGGACATGTAAAATAATTATCATAATTAGCACATTTAGAATGTGCCCATTCAAGGCACATTGTACATTTTAGCCATTCATCGCCCTCGCGACTATTTTTATAGTTTTTATTACAAATAACACATAAACAATTATTTTTTGATATCTTTTTTTTTCTCTGAATTAATAATTTTTTTTTATAAGGTGTAGATGTTAATATTTCTGAATTCTATTTTTTAGATATTTTATCCGATGAAATATTGAATAATTTTGGAATAGGTATTATAGATGAAGGATTGAATATTTTATTATAATTTTTTGAGCATGATGGTAACATATCATGATAAGGTTCATCTATATCATCTGCATTTTCGTTCAATAATATAGATAAATCACTATCATTATTTTGAGTCACTGTAATATTTTCATCATTATTTTCAAATTCAATATTTGAGCTAGCATTTGAATTATTACAGCAGATATAATCTTGTTCTGTAAATATATTTGGGTTTAAAGGAAATATGCCACATGCTAAGAACCCATTTAATATATTATTTGGTGTCACTGCTCTTGGTATTTCATTTTTTAACACTCCTGGAATATCATAAATCTGAAATTGTTGCCCCACATGATTTCTCATCCATGTGTCAATAGCCCCATTATAAAACTTTTTCAATGGCCCATAAACTGCTTTGTCTAATGGTTGGAGTTTATGCGAGCAATGTGGTGGAAGTGTTAGAATAACAATCCCATTGGAGCGACAATAGTTTATAACGGAAATTGAACAATGAGAGCTATGGTTATCTAAAATTAA